CCTTCCTCTTTCCGATTATCATGCTATTGATCAGCATTTACTTCACAAGATTGCTTATGACGCTCTAGTATGGAGCTCGCTTCATGGCCTTGTTACTGGTGATAAATCTGTTGAGGTCCGTTTCCAAGTAGTTCTCACTTCCCTCTTCCCAATACTTCTCAGTCTCCATAAGCAATCGTATTTTTCCGCTACTGTCTTCAGTGATATACCAAGAAACGTTGACTGAATATATTATATTATATTGTGAACATTTGAATTCTGTACTCCAGAAAGTATTGATTTTCTGATAAGGAATCATAGTTCACTGGCGAGGCTTGGTGACTGTCATGTGAAAAATAAAGAGTTTTTTCACATTTGTTGGATCGTTAGAACAATGCATTATTTCACTGCCCTTTGTAATAGTCTCATCTTGTTTGTTAGTTCTTGAATTTGATGTCAGCTTGTTTAGAATTATAGAGATCAGGAAGTGTTCCTGGCGTGGGCTTGGTTCATGCGCCGTTACACTTGTTCCCCGCATCATTCCCCCGAAGTCACTGGAAGCAGGCGTGTGAGTTAGCCCCAGTATTTAATGAGCTAGTTGACAGAGTGAGTCAAGATGGAGAATTTCTACAGGACTCTCTCTCCAGGTCTTCTTTTCCCCCCTCCTTACCTATTTAGAGACATGTTATGTGTTGTGTTATTATTCTTTTACAGTTTTCATGTTCAGCTGGTCTTGGGATCAACTCTAGATTTTGCTGTATGAGAGATTGCATTCCATGGGCATTTTACTATATTTACTGATTCTTGGGTTTTTTGTTTTACCTTTCAAATTGTGAAGAACAATTTGCATTAGATGTCTGTGAGCGTATACATTCACTTATTGTCTGTGTGATTTACCTCGCACAATTCTACCATTTTTTATTCTTGTCGATTTGGCCTGCCATCATATATTTGTCATTCTAGCTTAGCTACCAAAATATGGTCTTTCTACTCTAGTCTATCTCTGTTTATGCCTTATCATTTGATATTATTTGTCTGTTTCCCACTACGCAGAACTAAGAAGTGGATGAATTTACCTCCAGACTTTTAGATATTCATTCCAAGATGCTAGAGCTTAACAAAAAGAGGTGAGTGTAGATTGACAGTGCATTGGAACCAAATTTGTTAAAGATTGTCATTTTCTTCTTTAGTTATGCCATTACGGGCATTTTAAATATTATGTCATAGGAACACGTATTGGCTCAAGAGAGTAAAAAACTGAATTATTTTATTATTTGTTTATTTCGCATGATATCTAGTTTATGATCAAGCATATTATTAATATAGCAAAAGCTGGGATGAAGGTGCAGGCAGGTTACTCTCCATCAGTCAGTCAGAGTTAGTAACCAATATTTTTTACCCTTTCCTTTTGCAATAATTTGTTAGGGAATATGCTTGGGGTTACACCGTTCAGATTATATGCTTGATGAACAGTCCAAAGCACTTCTGCAAATTGAACTGAACACCATTTCATCTCTTCATTTGCTGGTCTTGGTGGACTTGTGACTGAGCTTCATATAAGTGTGCATGTGTGGTTTCTAATTTAGAATCTTTTAATAATGTTTTTTATTTCTCTTTTTCTATTTTGATGCAGCTGTGGGTCCTTATAAGTTAAAAATATGATAATTCTCATGGTAAATACAGTTTAATTCGTATTAGAGATACATTAGGAATTTGTTAGGTGATTTCAAATTAGAATTTATTTCAGGGTTTCATAAATGATTCGCAGATATTAATTAATAATGTCCAATGCCTGTTCATAGAAGTTCTAACTTCTTAAGTGTTGTTATTTAAGTAAAGGAAGTTGATTATTGGAAGGCATCATCATATTGGTTGGTTTTTACTCAGAAACATGCTTTCCCACTATGGAGAATTGCTTGGTCTAAATTCCGACAGAATTCCTTCCAATACTGCTTGCAATCAGTTTGTAGACGCATTGGCTAAAGCATGGTGTGAATATAATGACCCTAGGTAAGTTTGGAGAAATATTTTCCTCATTTGCTTCTTCTGCTACTTTTTTAAATGCTGTGTTATAACTTACGCAAGAGAAATTTTCACTGGATCTGTGCAGAGCTGTAATAATGTTTGTGGTTCAGGCTGATGAACGGAACATGTATGACCAACATATGCTTTCTTTAGCCCTGAGAGAAAGATATCCTGTTCTTAGTAGTTTTCTCTTGCTTCCTACATCAACTTTGTTCAACAATGCACATTCATTACATATTTCAAAATTGATCCGAACAATTTAGAAAATCTATCATTTAGACTGGAGGTATTTTCCTCAGCTTTTTAATACACATCATATTACATCTGTGCGGAAAACATTGGCTCAAATTGATCAAGAGGCGGAACTTCTTCCTGATGGAAAACTTTTTGTGTATGTATCTTTTGCCATTGGAAAAGTGACTTCCCTGCTCTGGATTTGGGACATGATTGCATTCTGACCGTTGAAAAATCTAATTTCCTGACACGTACAGGGATGGACAAGCTATTGCAGTCATTTACTTCAGGGCTGGGTACACACCACTCGACTATCCTTCAGAATCAGTGAGCATCTACACTGCACTTTTCCGCTGCTCATAATAACTGTTCCATTCCAGCGTTGAAACATCTGTTCTTTAACCTTAGGCATTGTTAGCCCAATGGAGATCATAACTACAGTGCCCAAAATATATTAAAATTACTAGCTCGACTTAGGAGATGCAATTACCATTTAATACTTTTTTGTGGAAAAATCGGTAAAATTATATTGCTCACAAAAACAAACACACACATATGATGTTTAGGCTGATAAGAACAATAGATGGCCACCTTTTAGAAAGGGTTACTTTAGAATGCACATCAACCAAAACCAGAGATCGCAAAGCATTTCCTCTGTGAATTACAAAAAATAAACCAAGCACTAGTTAAAACTAGCTCATATTGCTAAACAGATCATTCTGGGACTGTGAGGATCTTTAAAAACCGAACTTCACAAGGCCTAATCTTCTTGGGAAGGCAACTAGTGACTAAACATACACTTAGTGGAATAGAGGTGCATTCTGCAAACTTTTCTGCGTGTTTATGATTCTTCCTATATCAATCAGATCTGGCAGTTCTTTTATTGTCATCTGGTGCTTTTACATAATCCTCTGGAATAGGGGCTTCTACGGAGAAGTTGAGTTTATGTTTGCATATCTTGCTCAATTTGCAGGAATGGAGGGCTAGACTACTAATGGAAAAATCTTCTGCCATCAAATGCCCATCGATATCTTATCATTTGGCTGGCACAAAGAAGATCCAACAGGAACTTGCAAAACCCGGCGTTCTTGAGAGGTAGTCTATTACACTCCCATTCTCCAAGCAAGATTTTACTATTCATAATTGAAAGCATATGACCAGTACACAGATATTGTAACCGATGGGATGATTTGTGAGACTTCCCACGTAAAGCTGAGAATGTTGAGTTAATGCCTTAGAAATGGAAAGTTGTTGGATGGACTTATCCTCACCTCAGCACTTTACTTCGTAGAAAAAAGTATAAGCTGAGTGTATTTTGTTTTCGATGAATGTCAAGTAAATCAAATATAATGCGTGCACAGAAGCAAAAGAATGATTTTCCCCCTTCCGTTTCTGTCTTAGCGACTGAGTAGCTTATTGATTAATTTGGATATTTTGGCTGAATAGAGTTTGTTTCACCAGTTGATATCACTTCCCTAACTTTTGAGTCAATACTGCAAGCAGGTACCTTGAAAACAAAGATGACATTGTCAAACTGCGCAAATGCTTTGCAGGATTGTGGAGTTTGGATGAATCGGATATTACTAAAAGAGCAATAGAAAGGCCAGAATTATTTGTAATGAAGCCCCAGCGAGAAGGAGGAGGTCTTATTTCTCTTTAAAGCTTGCTTCAACCTTCTGTTCTGTCGACTCTTTGACCTTGTTGCAGGAAATAAAAAAGTGAGGCAGGGAATTTACCCAAGGGGCTGTAATTATGTTTCAGGAAACAATATCTATGGCGGTGCAGTGAGGGACACCCTCATAAAATTGCAGAAAGCAGGATCTCAAGAAGACGCAGCTTACATCCTTATGCAGAGGATATTTCCAACTAGTTTTGCAACATTTATTATGCGTAGTGGCTGTTGTCATAAGAATCATGCCATATCAGAACTTGGAATATTTGGCACTTATTTGAGGTATATAGCTCGGCTATGTATGAATCACTGCTTCATCCTTTCTTAAATTTGTGTGGTGCTTAACGCTGAATGAGCTTCAATTTGCAGGAACAGAGATAAAGTCATCCTGAATGAACAAAGTGGTTATTTGATGCGTACGAAAATATCGTCATCTGATGAAGGTGGAGTTGCAGCTGGTTTCGCTGCTTTGGACAGTGTATATCTGACATGATGTGGTGATCCTGTTAGTTGTCAAGGTAATCCAAAACAGTCTGTGGTTGTTGGATTACTTGTAAGATGTATGGTGCGTCTGGGATTTTTTTTTGTCGACCACCAAAAACAGGAAGGGGATGGTCGGTCAAGCTTGTCTAATTTGATTGTGTTCCTTGTCCTTGGTCGGCTGCTAACCTTCGGTTCTCATGGGCAGGCCGACGACCTGTCTGGTAGAGCCAACAAGTCTGATGGGTTGTTCAAATATTGAAATATTTGTCAAAAGGCAGTTTGATGAGGACTTGTGCTCTCAGACAATTTCTTCCTCATACATAACAGCAATTTCTTTCGAACGAGTGGAGTCAGTAACCAGAACAAACTCTTTTAGCACTCTTTGTATTTGATGCTTTCAGGGTGAACAAGACTTGAGACAATTGTGCGTACCGTACCGTACGTACAATGTCTCACCTCTTATCGATGTACTTTTATTTTTAAGGATTTACCTTGACGCATTTTTGTCAAAACTACTTTTATTCTTTGCTGACATCAACTGCATCGGTCGCAAGTCGTTTGAACGAAGAAAGTAGCTTATGCTTATATAATCTTTACACGTTTCACTGGGTTGATTGCTGTAGCTGATCTCCATCACAGACACCTGGAATGCTATTAATCTTAAGAAAGCAGTTTATGCTTACATAATCTTTGGACATTACACATAAGACTACCTTTATTGCAGCACAAGGCCAACAATATGCGCCTCAATTGCTATTGGAACTAATAACCAAAGCCAAGCAACCGATAATTACAAGAACCAAATGAAATTCGGTATTCCAACATAGAAAGAGGTTTATTTTAATATTATGCATATTTATATAATTTAAGAATTGATTTGATTTGAATTTAAAATTAATTGATTCGTTACAATAAAAAATATTAATTTGAGTATATTATTAATTAATATTAATTATTTTAATTAAATTAATTTATGCTTATAATTAATTAATAATACTAATTAACCAAACCATGTGTGTATTTTAATTACAGTGCATGTTAAGAAGGCCCCTAAATTAATTTATCATGATGTACCTCAGTTCACAAATTGAGCTGGTTTACAGCACAGAATACCGCAGGCCGAAGAAATAATAGCCTTTAAATATCCTTAAGTTGGTCCAAAAACCCTTTTTTCCTCCATAAAATAAGAGTAGAGGAAAAGGACGAAATTGTAGCCCTCAAAACACTTGGAGACGCGGGGAATCGAACCCCGTACCTCTCGCATGCGAAGCGAGCGCTCTACCATATGAGCTACGCCCCCATGTTGCATTGTTGTTGGCATTATTAGATCACATATTTTGTCTTTCAACTAAATTTGGACTTACAACACAGTAAAATTACCTGAAGAACTAGCTGTTGCATGGGAAAACCAATTTTTTGAAAAAATATTAAAACACGATTTTAAAATGTAATAGGATTGTTAAGTACTCCTCCCGTACTTAATATAAAACCCATTTAACTAATTTGATTAGATTAAGGAAGTTAGTTAAGTTAGTTAATTATAAAAATGTGACATGTTTTTTCCTAAAACACCATAATCATCTTTTTAATACCCTTTCCGCCTCTTCTACTTGATTATGGTTGAAAGAGTATCTATAGGGGTAGTTTAGAGAAAATTGATAAATATGAGAAATGGGTCTTATATTTAAGACCAAAACCAACTCAGAATTGGGTCCTATATTAAGGACCGGAAGAGTATTACTTATTTCTTTAAATATAAATTGTATATATTGATACATTGATGTTAGAAAAAAAATTGCTTTCCAAAAACAGGCTCAGGAATTTACTAATCCTTCGTTTTGCCAGCTCATGGATTTATTAATCCGGTAGTTGACAGGCTGTACGTTATATGGCGCTAGGGTAACGGTCAAAATTTTGAATACCAAGAATACCCTTGTAGCGGTGAGAACGATTTCCGAAGACGTAAGCAAAATGATTGTTCCTAAACACCGATCATCGCGCCTGGTTCCATCGGCCATTTTCCCCACCTCATCCAATCATCAAATTTCAGCTTCTGACCTTGATCTTGCGATTCCTCTGCCTCCCTCATATGTGAAAGCGACTGATCTATGTGTTTTCTCAAATGGGTGTCGTTTATCATTTTGACATGAACCCAACCAATGACCAATTTTCATCACCATGGGAACTTCCATCACATTAGCGACGAAAATCTTTTCCATAACGTCAGTATTTGGCTCATGGATTGGGTTCTCATAGTTGGTAGTCACTATAAATGGATTCCTGTTGCTCCGGACTAAGATATTGGCTGGGACTTTCGAGTTTTCGTTCTTAAGAACAGATCGTCATGGCGAAGTTTCTCACAGGATTCGTGTTGCCTATGTTCCTTCTAATAGGTCTGCCTTTGTCCCATTCTTATTTCCATGGCCTTCCTTTGTTCTGCCATATCATCCCTGGCGCTTCTTAGTGTCTCGTACTCAAAAAGTCAAAACAGAGCGGGAAATAGCACGCAGGAATTCACCAAATACTTAAATTCACATGTTTAAAAGGGGTTTGGCAATTTTGGATGTTCTAAATGAAGTTAAAGAAAATATACTGTAATATACCGGGATGCTCATGGACCGCGAGACCTGCTGGCGTCAATCAATGATCATCATCCATGTATCTATAAAAGTTCAAGGAAGGAAGTTGTACTGTTCATCAGCTAGTGTTCTGTTGGTGAAAATTAAGGATTAACATCCTATTAATGATACAAGACTTGTGAATTCGGCCTCGTGCTGGATAAACATTAACTTGATATTGGGTTAAGATCTCATAACTCCGTATTTTTAAGTTCGCACTTGAATTTTACTTTGACATGAGAGATATCAGATTTGTGCATGCAGATGTATATTCTAAAGGTTTTGCATATAATGGGCTAATTACGCAAGCTCTGTCGTTACGACTGTGCATAACTGTCTCGGTAGCTACACTCTTAGTCTTCCATGAATAAGTTATTATGGCAACTTGAATTTAGATAAAGTCGCCTCTACAGTATCCTTTGTCTTGTCCCAATGTCTCTCTTAAAAGTTGACATATTTTCTGTTCCATGCAGCCGCTTTACTTAGCTGGAGTTTGATATCTTTGGCAGATTTGTTAGCCTTTCTTTACCTTCAGTGCACTGCTATCAGAAGGGGTAAGATGTTCACCCGCATATGCACTTCATTTTTTTCATGCCATAATTCCTTTTTACCCTCCTTCCTCTTCAAATTCTTCTTCCTTTCATGATGACACGAGCACCTTTCTTTTTAACATTCTCTAATTGAATTTTTCTGAGGGTTAATATATCGGTAACTAACAAGGCTTTTGGATTTTATCATCTTTTAATAATGAAAACTAAATAAGTAATAGGCTGTAAAATTTAGACGCCGGGAGGAATTAGCTCACTTCAAATGGACATACCATGCTTTTCTTCTTGTTAATTTGTCCAAAAGTTCTCCCATTCTTCTTGTTATTTATTGTTGTTGCTGCTGCTGTTGTTGTTATAATAATAATAATAATAATAATAATAATAATAATAATAATAATAATACAGCATGCAACTACTTTATGTGCTTCTTTGGATGGAAAGGGTTATGTGAGTGGCTATAGGCTCATAGTCCTAATCTTTGGCTAGAAATTTAGTTTCCTTGGTTGTAAATTCTAGTTAGCAACCTTATACATCTTTTCAAGGATTATTGCTATTATTATATGGATACTGATTGTTTCCTTAAATACGCCTGTCCCCGCAGGATATTACGTTTCTAATATTTTATTTGCAAATTTAATTATCTTTTCTTCACATGATAAATGTTTGAAAGTTTTTGGCAAACAGGTTCTTGCTTCCGTCAACATTCTTCAATTTCTTGGTGTGTCCTTATATTTTCCTCTTTAATCCTTCTTTCACATGCCATATTTCATATTGCTTGGGCCATTGAGGGTGACCAATGGAGCACCAGCAATGCTCAGTGGGCGCAGCTAATTGGATTTAGAAGGTGCCTGAACTTCCTCTTTTTTGCTTTTTACCCCTTTCTAGCATAGACTTTTGCCCCTCAATGCATCAGTGTTTTAAAAACACAACAAATAGCATACGGAATGGATTTGCAGGGTGCAGTATTGGTGGAATTTGCCTACAGAGAAGTTTTTGGTTATGCAGATATTGATCGTCTTTGCTTCAATAATTGAAATCTATGGAAGTAGATATATTTCGGATGGATGGAGAGATTTTCATCCAGGACATTTATGCTCTTCTGTTCTGCTGATAGGTTTGTCTTCTAATAGTTTGAATTTTTGTATTTCTTTTGTTTATCTACCATTTATTATACTCAGTTATCAATTTCCTTTTTTCTTCCAGTAGTAAGTAAACATATATAGAAGCATGTATATTATGTGCATGTATTCACACACACACAAAAGAATAATTCATCAAGGCGCATATCTTTGTTGGTAAAGTGAAAAATTCACAAACACGTAAAATGAAAGTAACAAATTAATTACCTTTTTCATGTGAAGTGGTCATAACATGGATGTCGATTTGGGCTGCTGTATTGTTTTCTTTCTCGCAGGCTCTCATATTAGGGGTTTCTCCTTCTTATTGCTGCCTGGTATACAAATAACTGTTGGAATAAGTCACCCATCTTGGGCTTCTTTGCCTTATTTTATTTGCAGCAGTATAGGGCTTGTTGATTGTTCTTTGACAAGCAATTTCTCGGGCCTCTTTCGGTTAGAACCTCCTGCACCCCCTCAGAAAACATTTTTAGTTTTTTTCACAACAGAAATTGACAGACTCACCAAATACGTTTTACATGAATTTGAAGGGGGCGGAGGTACCTTCTGTTTTATGCTGGTTTGAATATCATCCTTCTTTACATATATCAACTTCCCGTCGAGTTCCCAGAGATATTGAGGAGGATTTTTGATCTCTTTGGACTCTATAAAGTTTCTGCTAAATTGGAATGGACCCGAGTTTGCTCTGGTCTTTCGCTTCTACTCTTCTACATCATGGTAAATATAATGAACTAGACTTACTGCTTCTATTTAGTTCTGTTGTTAAGGAAAAAGGCTCTCTACATACTTCTTGATAAAGACTATGTCTTGCGGTTTGATTGTCCCTGACATGCTAATGTTAGGAAACGATAATCCAAGCGAATGATTTCCACACATATATGGGAAGGTTTTTGATATACACTCTCGTGTGTGTTCTGGGACTATGCGTCTAAGGTTAAGTACATTTATGGGTGCTATTTATTTTTGCTCTAGAATTTACAAGAGAAGAGGATTAAACAATCGAAGTCAACAATTTTAACTGAATATAAAGATTGCTTTTCCGGACAATTGAGTAAGTTTAAATGCTGTATTATGTCTTTTGTTACAAGTTCCATGCACAAAACATGGATTGTGGGGACTGATGGATTAAGAATTCTACATCTGTTCAACACAATGAGACAATAATGTCTTTAATGGGTGATTAGACTTTTTATTGCACTCCAATCATTAAAGCCACATGATATTACATCTATCTTATTCTTTACGTCTGGAGTTTTAGTCAACAGCGAATCCATTCAGGGAGAATTGTCTTCAAATATTAACCAGTCACAGGCATGAATTCCTGCACCCCTGTATTCAGATAAATCACGTGCCTTCCAGATGCTAAAGAATTTAACTTCTTGTCATAGGGATTGAAAGGAAAACTTAAACTTGCGGGTTGTGACTCGCTTTCTTTCTTATAATATCGTGATGTTTGTCTATACTTCTAGTTAAAGACTATGCGTAAATATAGGAATGGACTGTTCAGAATCTACGAAATACACAGAATATTTTTGACTCCTCTCTACAGTCCCTAACTTACTTTTATCTTTTCCCAGCTTTCCTGGAGTAGAAGCGATTTAATTGACATGGATTTCGATACATCAACAAGAGAAAGCAACTTGACTGAGCCACTTCTTTTCCAAAAGTATCCTGTTTTTGGTCATGAATCCCGGTAATTAGACAGAAACAATGGCTCTGTATGATCTTGCTTTCTTTCTTTCTCCCCCCACGCTTCCTAAATGCTGAAGCTTCATACTTATTGTGAGGATAGTTTCTGTGGTTAACTGCCTCAAAATGGATATCGATTTTTAATTCCTTTAATTGTTCGCTTGGTTACCGTAATGGATATATCATATAATACAACTAATAATGTTGCCAATAAAATGATTTAAGAGTTCGATTGTTGAGCTGTAAATGCAAGAATCTGGATATATACTTTGCATTAACACCTCTTATTGTGCTCTTTTTTGGTGTGGGTGTGCGTCCGTGGGCCCGCGTGTGTGTTTGTGTGAGGGAGAAAGAGAGAGAGGGGTGGTTGGGGGCAGAGCAGGGTCAATGTAATAATGTACTGATGAATTTGTTTGGAAAACTCCTTTTGCTTGATTAAGAAGTTTCTCATGTAACAAGACAAGATGCATGAAATTTTCCCCCTTAATATTTTGTTACATTATGTAGTTAAATTTATTGTCTTTCTCTCATGAGGTCTGACATTCTAGTTTTTGTTTGATGATTACAATTTCTGTACGTTGTCTCCATTGATTGCTTGCCAGATTTCCCATTAAGTTCGCTGCTTCTTGTTATGTGATGTTATTTTTGGAAGTTTTCTGGTGGCAATTTATTTCAGTCTTGTTATACAATTTATTGACAGATTTGGTTTGAGGCATGCTGGTATTTCATCGAGAGGAGCTGCTTTTAGGTCATTTAGTATTAACTTCTTAACTTACGGTTTTCCGGTACACTTTCTATCTCCTTTTTTATTGAGTTATTTGCCCCTCATTACATCAATCCTGTGCATGATTCAAGTCCAGTTTTTGGCATTCCATATACAGAGAAACAGTTGATTCGGCATTCACCAAGAATATGGACTCATTCATTTATTTTTCTCCTTGTTGTGCATGATGCATCAGTAAATGACCTCAGCCGTCATTTTTTTTCATTCTTAATTACAACTACTCACTTGAGGGACCGTTGCAATCACTTACCAGATGGATTACTATTTTTTGTGGTTATCTGTTGTTTCCGGCCTCTTCAACTGTTAGTATTCTGATGCTGAATCGTAATCTGGTCAAGAGAGAGAAAGGAGAGAGACAGAAGGAGGGTAGTGTGAAATCCCAGATATAATGCTCGCTAATTACTCCCTAATTCTATCCCATTATCTTGACATTTATGATTCATTATTCCTTGATTCTTTACCGTTGAATATAGCTGTTATAGGCTTTTATTATATTTCCTTCTTCCTACCCTGTAAATTATATATAAATCTGTGTACCCACAATCTGTAAATAAGAAAAATACAGAAATTATGCAATCAGGTCTCCCGACTCACAGGTAGAAACAAAGAGACGAGAGAAACTTGGATGAATTCCCTTTACTGACTATAACAAACTATATTACAAATGCGTTTGGTTCTTATTTATAGCCTACTTTTCTGACGGTCTGGTAGTCATTAACACCACTAACGACTAATGAACCCAACGTGCTTTAACTACCTAAGTCCTCTTATTACAATTACATATGGAATTCATTGTTCCCTTCATCCTATTTTTTCTATTTCTCCTACTGTAAATTTAGATAGAGGCCTAGATTTCTATCAGAATATTGATATAAACACATGAAGCTGCTATCTATTGTCTATTAATATTGTATTTATTGGTGAAACTGGCAGATTTCCATGCTTGCACTGACATTTTGGAGTCTCTACTTTACAAGTGTTTGTGCATTTGGATTGCTTGCTTATGTGGGCTATATCTTGTATGCCTTCCCTTCCATGTTTCGCTTGCATCAGTTAAATGGAATGCTTCTTGTTTTCATTCTCTTGTGGGCTGCTTGCACATATGTCTTCAATGTGGCATTCAATAACAATTTATGGAAGGTATAATACTGCTGGAGGCTTGTGGCAAACTTAGTGACGCTTCTATTAAAGCGTTTTAGCTAAAACCCTTTATTCATTTGTAGGATATGGAGATTTGGGAAACCATAGGCCTGTGGCATCACCCTATGCCAGGATTGTATCTGCTTGCTCAATTTGGTCTTGGTGTTCTTATTGCAATCTGTAATCTTGTGAACAATTCAGTATTATTGTCTGTAATTGATGAAGAAGAGCAGTCAACAACTGATGAATCTTTTGCCCAAGGTGAGAAAATTAAATGGTCTAGCTGAGTACGAAAAGCTTTTCACTGTGTAAACTTACACTCTGAAAGGTGGAATTACAAGTTACCTATCCTCTGTCTTATGGTAAAATAGAAGCACAAACATTGATTATTGTAGATATTGCTTTCTACTTCGTAACCTTGGCTACTTTTTGTTTGAAAAAAGTATCAATTTCTTGCTTTGGGAAGACAAAATAGATATGTAATTTGCATTTGAATTGGTGACCACCATGCAGTTGCTTTTAGTTACATATTTTGTTGTAAGATTGTGCAAATTACTTTCATAAATTTTTTTTTGAATTATAAGGAGTCCCTCTATTTTCAAAATACACACAAAGATTTCCTTAAACAAAAAAGTTGGGCTACGGTTTAGTCTTTTTTTTTTTTTTTAACCAAAATACCCTCCTTGAGCCTTGATACTTTTTCCCCCCCCCCAAAAAATGAAGATATAATTCATTCTTTATTATTTTATTTTTTTGAAAACAAATGTTTTTTTAATTTTATCTGGGCATAGTTGGATATAATATATATTTACTTATTTAGTTAATGAAGGATATTTTAGTGAAAAAAATTTTTAAATTAGACATGAGAATACATTTTGAAAATTGATGGGAAATCTATGTAATTTCAACAAAACCTGAAGGAGTATAGATATGTATTTTATATATATCAGACATTTTCTTGACATAATTGTCTCATATTTTTAGGCAAAGTATAGGTTTGCACCCGGGTAAATGTAATCTTTCTCATGGCACCGTGTGCATATGTATAGCAAGTTAGAAACAAATGCAGCCATTTTTCCGTTTGCAAACATCAGCAACAGACATTATGTTAAATTAGCTGCCTAGTTTTCTGGAAATGCTGCAAACGATAACCTGTTATTTTTATTAATCTTTTTGATAATTGTAAAAAAAATTTATTAATCTTTTTGATAATTGTCAAATTTTAATTTTAGAGGAAGACAGAGTAGCTCTTCTTAAACTTCATTTTTGTTTTGTTCTTAGTTCTGCTTATGTGCAGAGGACTCTTTTTTATATCTGCTTACATTTGATCATAATATCCTATGACATAAAAAACTTGGCTTTTTTACTCTGTTGTGGACTCTTATTATTTGTTTTTTGTTTTGTTTGTCAAATTTCTAGGGCAAGAAAAGACTACAGTGTTGGTTGTGGCTATAATAGCATGGGGACTACGCAAAAGTTCACATGTCGTTGTACTGATATTGATATTTCTTATTGCAATTAGACCTGGTCTCGTTCATGCTGTATATAGTAAGTTGAATAATTAACATATTCTACATTGTTTTATTTACTTATTACTTTTAGGATGCTGCTATAAGGAATTGTTTCAAATGCACCTGATCCTCTACCTCATCCTTTCAATAAAACTTTGTCTTCACAATGCAGTGACCAAAATCAGTGTTCCTAATTTTACAAACTGCGTGCTTTCTGCATGCAGTGATATTCTTTTTGGTTTTTCTTTTAAGCCATGCAATCAATTGGAAACTACGTCAAGCTATGATTCTTCTGTGTGAGACACACTTTGCGATTCAGTACATCCTGCGACTTGATCTGATTTCTAAAACTTTGGAGCATAGAGGATCAATGTCTATGCAAATACTTTCACAATTAGGTAAAATTATTGATGTAAGATCACTTTGTTATTAAATGCTTGTTGAATATTGGCTTTATGTTTGCGGTGCCGTTTGCAACTTCTTTCCTTGAAACCAAAGTTGTATTTTCATTCCTTTTTTGGGGCTGCTGCAGGCTTGCTTAATCATGATAATTCAGCAGACCTTCTCAAAATATCTTTTCTTGCCTGCTTCTGTGCTATTCACAACCATGGGCTTCAGGCACTTATTTCATTTGCGGCAACTGTGCGACATGCATCTTGCCCTCCGTTTGGGTTTCACATCTTTCGAGCTGGCTTGCTCACATCAATTTTTATGTCATTTGATAGTCCAGCATGCAGTGAGAATCAAGGAACTAGTGGTATAATTCTGTCATATATTATTATTGTTAAATCCATAGAATTCCCATTTCAATTTATTATATATATAGTTAAAAATATCTCCTTCTGTTTGATTATTCAGAGAAGAAGATGATATCATATTTGAACACAATAAGACGGAGTTTCCTATCTATATATCAGTTATGCGGAAAGTACATAGCCTTCCTGACCATTCTTCTCAGTGTGTACCTTGTCACGCCAAACTATGCTTCATTTGGATACTTGTTCTTTCTTCTACTGTGGATTAGTGGAAGACAACTTGTGGGGCAAACAAGAAGGTGCCTTTGGTTTCCTATGAAAGTTTATGCACTCATGGTGTTTGTTTCCGTTTACAGCATTGGTGTCCTTTCCAGCTCAGAAATGTGGCTATCCAGGACTCTTGATCTTCAAACTATGTTTGGATATAACCCAGAAGCTTCGTTGTTGAAAAATATCCGGAAATCCTTGGCTGTATTGGTAGTGATGCAATTATATAGCTATGAAAGGAGGAAGAGCAGAAGTTTGGGGTCAATTAACTGTAGTGTACCAGGAACTGGACCTTTTGCATTTACTAGACGTCTTCTGGTTTGGCATATTGAGAAAATATTATCTCTTTCTTTGTTTTATGCATCATTGTCACCTATAAGTGCATTTGGTTTTCTGTATCTGCTTGGTTTGATCATGTGTTCAAGATTACCAAAGTCTTCTCAGGTCCCTTCAAAATTATTTCTAGTTTATTCAGGACTTCTTGTAATGGTTGAATATCTTTTCCAGTTGTGGGGTGGTCAGGCTGAAATGTTCCCAGGTCAAGAGCACTCTCAGCTGTCCCTTTTCCTAGGCTTACAGATGTGTAAACCTGGTTTTAAAGGTTTAGAGTCAGGTTTAAGGGGAAAGGTTTTGGTTATTGTGGCATGCATGCTTCAATATAATGTTTTTCATTGGCTGGAGAAGATTCCACATTCTTATGAAAATGAAGGAAAATGGGACGACCCTTGTCCTTTGTTTTCTCCAGAAGAAGTTTATAAAGAAAGCACTGTCTGCACTACTACTACAGAAAGGAAACATTCAGAAGATGCCACCTCACCATCATTCAAACGAGGGGTAAGAAGTATTTCATGTCCAGCATTGAACTCTATGTTAACCCAAGGTCCAGAATCTGGGTTGGAAAGAGATAGTGCAAATAAGTGCCGGCATCTTCGTTTTTGGGAGAGTTCCAAGGATAGCTCTAAGTGGAGTAGAAAGCATATTCATTTTTTGAGAAAAGAGAGGTTGGAAATGCAGAAGACTACTTTAAAGGTATCTTTGAAGTTTTGGATAGAGAATATGTTCAACCTCTTCGGTCTTGAAATCAACATGATAGCTTTGCTCTTGGCTAGCTTTGCTGTTTTGAATGTCATTTCCTTGCTCTATATAGCATTACTTGCTGCTTGTGCTATTCTGCATCGGCAAGTCATTCAAAAAGCATGGCCAGTTTTTGTTTTTCTGTTTGCTTCCATTATCACTGTTGAGTACTTGGCCATCTGGATGCACCTCTCTTTTGCAGATCAACATATTGAGGCACAGGTGTCATGCCGTGACTGTTGGAGATTATCAGATACATATTTCAGCTACTGTAAACAGTGTTGGCTAGGTATTTGTGTGTGTGTGTGTGTGTGTTGTGCCACATATTCATCACAAATTGGGTAGCTTTAACCATGCCAAATATTTATCACTCAGGAACAGTAGTAAAGTGTGATGGCTGTGATACTTTTCCCCCTACTAATCAGTGTTAAATGCTTACTGCAGGAATTCTTGTTGATGATCCTCGTGTGCTTTTTAGCTATTACGGAGTTTTCATGCTTTCGTGTTTTAAATACCGTGCTGACCAGTCATCTAGCCTCTCCAGATCAAAAATGTATAAAAAAATCCTCTCTCAGTGGAAGTCTGCTTCTGTATTAAATGATCTTTCTTTTGAAACAAAAGGATATTGGACATGCCTTGACCACCTGAGACTCTACTGTTACTGTCACTTGCTAGATTTTGTTCTCTCATTGATCTTGATTACAGGAACCTTTGAATATGACATTTTACACTTTGGCTACCTTGGTTTTGCCCTGATTTTCTTCCGAAAGAGGCTAAAAATACTAAAGCAGGGAAACAACATTTTTAGATTCTTGCGGGTGTACAATTTTCTCCTTATAATCTTCTCTCTTGCATATCAATCTCCTTTTGTGGGTGATTTTGGCGAGAAAAAATCTGAAAGCAAATGCATCAAGGAATTGGTTGGATTTCACAAATATGATTATGGTTTTCGAATTACATCGAGATCAGCATTGGTGGAAATTGTCATATTTATGCTGGTATCACTACAGTCATACATGTTCTCATTCCAGGAGTTTGCTTATGTTTCAAAATATCTTGAGAAAGAGCAGATTGGTGTGGTACTACGGCAGCAGGAGAAGAAAGCTGCTAGGAAGACCGCGCAGTTGCAGCAGACACGTAAAGCTGAGGAGCTAAAGCGCCTCCGAAGCTTGCAGGTAGAGAAGATGAAATCAGAGATGCTAAATCTTCAGAATCAGTTTCACAATGTGAAGACTCATGGCAATTTTAGTGATGTTTCTTTAGAAAATGATGGCCTAAGAAGGAGAAGAAACTTTTCTTTAGACTTATATAGGGAAAATGAGTTTAGGAAGCAAGATCCTGATTTTAGTACTCAGACGATAGGTCCCTTTGAGATGAATGATGCTCCATTAAGTGAAAGAGCAGGTGTAGGTTCGTTGGCACCAGGAGATTGGAAACACTCAACATATTCTCCTCACGGACTTGTTGGGGTAAATGAAAGAACTTGTAGCGACTATTTTTTGGATTCAGAAATAATGAATCACTCGAAACTTCCGACGGGGCAAAATGCAATGGTTTCAACAATACATCTCATAGGGAAAGGAGTATCTCAAGTAAAGTTTCTCGGAAATATGGTAGTGGGCAATTTAATGAACTTTCTGAAGATAGAAAATGAAGAATTAGAGTCAACTAAGGATTCTTCTGAGGATGAAGTATACTATGAGGTTGAAAATCAGAATACCGGAGGTGAACATTTGGAGCCTACATTTTCTGCACACACTATTAATGAGGAAAGCGTGCCTGATTCTGCTTTCTTCCAAATTGGTATCATCTTCTGTTACATGTGGTCCAGAATGCAATCAAATAACGATGTTGTTTGTTATTGCTGCTTTATTCTGATATACCTATGGAGCTTCAGTTTGATCTCTGTGGCTTACCTAGCAGCTCTGTTCTTATATGCTCTCTGTCAAAATACAGGTCCCAGTTATATATTTTGGATTATTGTGCTAATTTACACTGAGATGTGCATTTTGCTTCAGTATTTATATCAAAGCATCATCCAACACTGTGGGTTGGTCTTGCATGTGGGCTTCCTTGAAGAATTAGGATTTCCTGCGAACAAAATAACATCATCCTTTGTAACCAGCAACTTGCCATTTTTTCTGATATACGTGTTCACTCTGTTGCAAATCTCTATAACGGTGAAGGATGGTGGTGGGGCAAATGCTGCAGAAATCAGATGGGACAAGAAAAGAAATCAACACCACGTAGAGCAAGTTAAGAGCACTGCCTGCAAAGCGAGATTGCAAGGACTATCTTCACCGCTGAGAAATGTTCTACAAATGCTTTACAGAAGCATCTGCCGCTACTGGAAATCATTAACATGGGGCGCAGAGACTCCACCATATTACGTGCAGCTTTCTTTTGAAGTCAACTCGTGGCCTGAGGGGGGCATTCAACCAGAGAGAATTGAATCAAGAGTAAATAAAGTCCTCAAGATATTGCATGATATGAGGTGCAAAGAGAACCTGTGTGGTTTGCAAGTAGAAAGCAGGGTTCGTGTTCAGAGCATTCAAAAAAGTGAAGAGAATGAAAATTTGTGTCTTGCAGTTTTTGAGGTGTTATACGCCTCCCCTTCAATTGAATTTACTAGAGAAGAGTGGTACAGCTCATTAACTCCGGCAGCAGATGTAGCCAATGAGATTCAAGAAGCCCGGAGTACTGGTATATTTGAAGAGATTGGGTTTCCGTACCAAGTACTTTCTGTCATTGGCGGTGGCAAAAAGGAAATTGATCTGTACGCTTATGTGTTTTGTGCTGATTTGGCTGTTTTCTTCTTGATAGCTATTTTCTATCAGTCAGTTATAAAAGCTAACGGTGAATTTCTTGAAGTCTATCAGCTTGAAGATCAATTCCCTGAAGACTTTGTTTTCGTCCTGATGGTAAAACTTACTTCTTTTTTTCAGGATGAGTAGAAGTTCATAGCTAGGATCCTGTGTTCTGATCATTCTATTGAATTGGAATGCATTTATAACTTCGCTGTATTATGATTTTATGGGGGAACTTGATAGCAACTATCTTGGGAACTTTACCTAAGTCTACTCCATATACCAAATAATCATATTGGGTGGTTAAAGGATTGTCAACTTTTGATGCATTTGCAACACGGCCTTCATTTGAATGGTGTTAATAATTGTATAATATGGTATAAAGCTTGTGAATATGAATAAGTACAGACTAGTTTTCTCACGAATGTTTACAAGCCTGATGAAAGTCAAACTTTAATTTGGTAAAATCGCAGCTTTATGTATTTCATTGCTTCATATGTTTGACCAATGAAAGTCAAATATTTGAAATTTCATAAGACTAGTAGATCCATATTGACAGTTTATTTTGCTGAGAGAAAGACTTTGTTTGCAGGTTGTCTTTTTCCTGATTGTGCTTCATCGCATCATATACCTCTGCTCCTTTGCAGCAGGAAAAGTTATATTTTATTTATTTAACGTTGTTCTCTTCACATACTCAGTCACAAAATATGCCTGGGACATGGATCCTTTGCACAGACGTTCTGGAAGACTAGAACTTCGTGTTATTTATCTCACAAAAGCAATTTCTCTAGCTTTGCAAGCTATGCAAATTCAATTTGGGATTCCACAGAAAAGCACTTTATACAGGCAGTTTTTGACTAGTAATGTTTCACGGTTTAATTTTTTGGGTTTTCGACTGTATCGTGCTCTGCCATTCCTTTATGAATTGAGATGTGTTCTAGATTGGTCTTGCACAACAACATCTTTGACTATGTATGACTGGCTGAAGGTAAGTTTTCTGCAGCCTTAAAATTATTTCTTTAGCCTGAAACCTGTCTGTTGTCATAGCTAATGTGAAATAAATTATTCGCTTATTAAAATAGGGGCTTGGTTCAGCTATACCTGCCCAGTTGGAGGAACACGTTTGGTCATAGTGAACCCACGTGGCCGATCTTTTAGATGAAATTAGTGAAATGTCATTTTGAGTCTTTTAGAGCTTGCTATCTTTTCTCCACTAATGATGGATGGTACTGGCACTGTTGGCTATCCATGGACAAACAGTTATCTTTTCCTCTAGTCCCTCGTGATCATTTTTTAACCTTCTGTTTCCAGAGAATTTTTCCTCATTGCATTTAAAAGCGTCTATTTAATAATAATGAAGCTAGTTCCATACATTGAGTAGCTTATCTTTCCCTTATGAAGTGAAAAGGATTTAAATTTGAGTTAATTTAATAGCAAGTCATTAAAAAGACATTTAACTACACAAAGAAGAAAAATCTCTACATAAACAACAATTCAAGCGCAACAGAAAGATGAGTGGAGGCCAACCATAACTCCACAGTGAGGTTTCCGAATTACAAGGGCATCTAAAGCTTCAGTAACAAAGAATTATTACTTTTGTAAATTTTGAAGATTCATTGAATGACTGTTCTTGATTAATTCTTCTGTCCTTACATGGTTATATTGGCCTTTTCTTCCATATCAGGACATGGGTGGATTCAAATCCACTTCAGCATCAAAGAAATCCTGTTAGTGAGCATATAGCAACCATTGCATTTCAACCATATACTTGCAAGAAAATTAAAATAATTCTTCTATAATGTTTTTTATTGGATGAACCTTAAAAAAGGGTTAAGTTCTGTGATTTTGTATGTGACGCATTATTATTAGATGGCAATTGATGTTGATTTATCGGTTCCACAAAAGTTTAGTTATTAATTCTTCATTCATGTATTTCAACACGGATGTATTGGTACTGTAGCGAAGGATGCTTTAAGCTGAATGATTGAAATTCAGAATTTATGCATCATGATGCAGACTTGATCTCTTATTAGCTGTTTCACTTCACCTAGCACTTGAAGTTCACATTTCTTTCCCCTTGTGATCTCTAAATATCTCTCCCTGTAGCTTGAAGATATTCATGCAAGCTTGTTTCTCGTCAAATGCGATGTGGATTTGAATAGAGCTAACCATCACCAAGGACAAAAGCAAACCAAAATGACAAAGATCTGCAACGGGATATGTTTATTTTTTGTGCTGCTGGGTGTCATATGGACTCCCATGCTGGTGAGAATCACAAACACCAATTGCCAATCTGTGCACAAGCTGCCAATGTTCTTTCTGACCAAGTTGAATAAAACAACATGTATAGTGTTAATCTCATTTTATCACTCAAAATATTGAGGAATTCCATAGGCTTGAACAATTAGTTGAAGTCAGTATCTATTTTGTGTCGTGTGTTTTATGCTGGCAGCTTTTTGGAAGGGAAGGTTTTCTTTTTCCCTGTTTCGTTCCATTGGCATTGGTTTCACAAATCTAGCAGTTTAGCCCTTTGGGACTACTAAATATTGAATACCGGCAAAACAACTTTTCTGGGGCATGGACTCGATTTAAATTTTAGTCGTGTAAACAGTATTACTTCATTGTAGTTTTAAATTTCTGTCACAAATGCTTGGAATGCATGATTGCTTTAAGTGACAGAAATATTTCAACTCCTAAGTTGTTTGCTCCATGTATTATTATTATTATTATTTTGATGGGGAGAAAATAAATAATTATTGTAATTTGAAAAAGATTTTCAAGTTCTTCCCACCCCCTTCCCCTGCTCCCAAGCAATTAGACTTTTTTAGGGGGAAAAATCAAGGTAGCGGTCCTTTTTGTTGTTGATAGAGAACGCTTACATTTTCTAGATCAATGCAGATACTGGATCCTATTAATGACATTTTTGTCTAAATAGTAGCTAGCAATCTCTTATCACTATGCATGATCACTAAGAAAATCACATTATCTGGACAGATGTACAGTAGTGGTAACCCAACAAACATTGCAAACCCCATCAAAGATGCCAGTGCTAGGGTTGACATAAAGACCATAAGTGGAAGGTTGACATTTTTTGAGACAACATTGTGCGAGATGATATCTTGGGAAAAGCTTCATGTGCGTAGAAGGTTGGATCCTCATCGTTATCTTAGCACATACAATGAGAAAGACATTCAATTAGTTTGCTGCCAATCAGATGCCAGCACGCTCTGGCTTGTTCCACCTGTTGTGCAGACCAGGTTTATGAAGACCCTTGGTTGGAACATGGGGATTACTTTCTCCTGGCAATTTACCAGGGATAGGCCAAAGGGGAAGGAAGTAGTAAAATACGAGTTAACCGTACAGGACGAGGATCTACCTAAATCCTCTGAAGTGATGGAAGTTCTCAATGGTACTTCTGATAGCTTTAAAGTGTTTAATGTCTACCCAAGATACTTTCGGGTTACAGGATCTGGTGATGTGCGGCTCCTTGAGCAGTTGGTATGTCCGGTTTGATAAATCACATTTTGTTGAACCTATCCTGTAGCCGTAATCTAAACCAACACAGCAATGTACTCATGAATTCATCATTCACATATCCAACAGTCAAGACTACAAGAGAACACCACAAGTTCAGTACATCCACGGAGATTCACTAACAACAGAGAACACATGAACACAGAAAGGAATAGATGACTAAAAGGCTGCTATCATTCGGGAGGCTGTCTATCTGAGAGACTTCTTCCCCAAAAATGCTTCTATTTTTTTAACTGTAGTTATATTCATTAATCAGCTATATTCGGGCTCATGATGAGCATATAATGTCTCTGCAGGTGGATCTCTTTAGTGGAAATCTTGTTCTCAATCGCGGGAATCCAGAGTGGTGGTCTTTTTATGATATTAATGCTTCAGATGCACATGGATGTGGAAAGGATGCTGGACCAATGGCTATAATCGTATCCGAGGAAACTCCTCGTAAGCTTTCCTGGAATTTTAATTGAGGAGGTCATAGATTTTTCTTAAAACCGCCGAGGGGGAACATATGCTGTCCCTCGGCTTTTATTAAATAGCTTTACGCTGCATTTTACCCTTGCTTCTTGCTGCTTTAGAGGGTATTATCGGTGAAACTCTCAGCAAGTTCAGCATTTGGGGACTTTACATCACCTTCGTGCTTGCGGTTGGGCGTTTTATCAGATTGCAGTGTGCCGACCTGCGAATGAGAATTCCTTTTGAGAACCTTCCTTGTTGCGAAAGGTGCTTAAGCAATACAAATCTGCTTCATATGCTTGTGGTGACTGTTTGGCTCTGGGCTTTAAATTATATGTGAAGATGTTTGCTTTCATAGAAGCTTTTGGTGGGGTCTAAATTCTGTGTGTTTATTGATGCAGATTGTTGGCAATATGTGAAGATATTTATGCTGCCCGAGCAGCTGGTGAGCTTGAAGTGGAGGAGAATCTGTATTGGACGCTTGTTAAAATCTACCGCTCGCCACACATGCTGCTCGAATACACTCAGCCCGACTAAAATTCTCCATACTCCTCCAGCTTCATGTTTAACAAATCGACGCTTATATTGATTATTGAGCATCATCTTGATTTCCATTTAAGCGTCTCTGTAAAGGCTGCTTGAAGTTGGTCACTTGAAGAAAAAGAAAATGAAGAGATCACACGCAAATAACAAATTTCAAGCTGATTTATCATGGCGATAACCTACCGCCCCGCACATAAATTGTATTCATCTAAGATTAATAGATTTGACTGATCCTATTGTTCATTATGTTGTTAGTATTAGTAACAGAGGCCATGCATGCGGTGGATTTCAAACAACTGAATTGCAGAATTGATACTGGGAAAGGGTTTTGTTCGAATTACATTGTGAGATTTATCACTATAATAAACTAAATTTTTTATTTGATATAGATTATAACCAATTTTTATCTGTTTATGACGTTCAGTCTATGATTTTGCAATTTTATGATGAGCTATATATATCCCGCAATTATTAGTTAAATTCATCGGCAAAAGTCTGTTCGATTAACACATCTAAAATGCTTCGCTAAAATGACAATTCACTTTTCCATTCTAATTTTGTTTCAGAAACGAAGAAACCGGACAATTTCAATATAATAATGTTATACAAAATCTAACTTGTAAAATAATATAAATCTATAGAGAATATCTCATTGCAAATGCCAAGAGTGTAGCCTTACCTGCTAAAGGCCCGATCGTACTCGCGACAAATAGATACTGTGCATGGCTATTGTCATTATTGTTATCATTGAAATAGAAACGCTTAGTTTCTAGATAATACCGTTAGCACCAGAACGTCGATATGTCCGAGTGGTTAAGGAGACAGACTTGAAATCTGTTGGGCTTCGCCCGCGCAGGTTCGAACCCTGCTGTCGACGTTTATGCCTTTGAGTTTTGGTCTACCCTAGATAACTAGATGCGTAATGCATGGATTTAGATCGTTACGCTATTCACGCGAAAAGCCTTTATCCTTTTCTTTTTTTTTCCCCTTTTCTTTTGCGTAAAAAGCCTTGATCTTCTTTTTAGTTATACGCGCTTGAGGGAGTTCAAACACGTTACTTCATTGTTTTTAAGAAAATGTCAGCCATGTATGATCTCAATTAAATCGAGTCCTAACAGATCAACAATCGTTTTCGGCCTCTATATCCCAAATGAAATTATTAAAATAAAAGGATTTGAATATTTAATATTCAGAATGGAACACGTAAATGTTCATAACTTCATGTTCTTTTAATATTAAGGCATGCTGTTACTTCTTGCGATTCTGAACAATAGTTTGAAAAAAAACTCAAGCATTTTGATGAATTCAGCATATAGTACAGCAAAATCTCAGAATCTCAATCCCTCCACCTCATTAACTTTCTTCCTCCCTTTCCATGGGGGAGGAGGTATGCGGTCCCGTTCGGATCTCCGAGAGGCGGGACACAAGGGTTGCCGTGACTGATATCCAACCAACACCGGGAGGAGGTCGTTATGTTCATCGTCGAATCTCTGGCCAACCCTTGGCGATTGAGAGAGACAAGTGATCGATGGCCTCTGCTGCTGTGGCAAAAATGGCAGTGTAGGTCGTCCCTGAACTGAACGCGGAGCTAAACACGCGAAAGGCCTCCGATCCGTATCTCGTCTCTGTACTTTCGCCCTTAATTTGAATTCTGGAATCCATGATTCCGTAATTCGTGCTCTGCCTCACGCAATGCCCATTCCAGGCATTTGCAGTCGCAGAGGGTGCTTGTGGAGGTGGTGATCATGGCCCCCATGATCATTCAACTCTTGGTGACACCTCCTCAACACTTCGCTACCAAATCTCCAATCCCCGAATCTAAACTCTTCCTCCTCATCGTCTCTTATTGCTTTTACCATTTCTTCCTCCAGCTCCTCACCTTCTTCTTCTTCCTCCTCCTCCTCTTCCTCCCCGTCGTCTTCTAAATTATCTATACTACTTTCCTCCTCCGGTATGAGATGTAATGTGAGACGTCCATCGTGTCGCCAAGCGTGCAGAATCTTGGGCCGATGTATTCTGACTTCGATGAGCTTTAACCTTCCGTCCTTCCTCACCGGTCGGAGATAGAAACTCGGCTGACCATTCAAGTTCAGCGAAGAAAGAGGGGGCGGAAACGAACTCACCTCCTTTCTCACGCCATGACTCCTCCTTCTACAAATCTCGGCTCCTATATCCTCCGCCGTCCCCGTCAAACAACAATCTTCAGCGGGGTGATCCTCAAGTTGGTCCATCAAGCGGCTCTCGTCGGGGCACTCAAAACCTAGGCTCTCGATGCAAGACGCCAACCCGTCAGCCGCGAGGCTGCCGTTGTCATGCACGTGGCGCGGGGCGTCTGTGTTAACGGGATGGGATGGCTTCTTGACAATGACAAGGGCAATGGCGGTGGCGAGCCCTAGGCCACCGGAGAAACCAAGAAAAGTACGAAGGAGGAGGTGGTGGCGGTGGAGAGAGGGAAGAACGAGAGAGAAGAAGAAAGAGAAGGAGAGGGACAGAGAGATGGAGAGAATGAATGGGAGATATGGAGAGAAAATAGTCATTTTTGTTGATGCAGTGGTTGAACAGACGAATCAGAATCAGCAAGGAAGTGGGTATATTAATAGGATGAAAGAAGGGGAGGATACAGCCAAAGATTGAGAAATCTTTTTAAAATTAAAATATTTAATTTATATTTAATTTTGACTGATTCACATCAAATCAGTCCAACTATGTGAGTGTATAAAATATTTTATGACAATTTTTTATAGGATTTATTTAAAGAATTTACTTCAATACATCCAGTGTTAAACTACTCGAACTTATTGTTGCGAAGTAAAATGTATATCTTGATTGAGATTTGATTTGGAAAACACGTTTTATAAGCACTGTACTTCATAAATAAAAGTTAGGAAGATATAAAAAGTAGTTAATCACAATTCACATCCTTTGACGCAATAGTCTTGGATGAGCTAGCCAGTAAGGTCTGTTCTTTTCTATTATTTCTCTCTAATTACATTATATCAGAATTTTTTTTTGGGGATAAAATATCCTCGTCAGTCGTCACTCGTCAAAACTGTACTGTAGTGGGCAGGCTTCCTCCAAAGTCCAAACGGTCGAAGACCAAGACTCGCATCATACCCCCCCCCCCCAAAAAAAAAAACGCAATTCCTACCTAAGATGTTCGTACCGGGGGGGAAAAAACACGTGTTTCTTGATGCGGGTGGTTTTTTCAATCTTTTCACTTATGGGGACTCCTCATGGATAACCCACCGCGTTATAGTTAGCTTAGGGCCCAAACCCATTAAACCGGATGGGCCTCCTAGGGATATTCTAAAAAAATAAAACCATCGACATTATTGATTATTCCAAAAAAACATTGTTCAGCGTGAAGTCAAGCTGAGTCAACTTGACACCATCTAAGGATTTTTTTTTATTTTTTTGGCCGGCACACCATTTAAGTTTTTAAACCTCATCAGACTGCCGAATAATAACAGTGATTGCCGAATGGCTCCCCCCCCCCCCAAAAAAAAAGAAGTCATTATCAATGTTACTGTAAATTCTTCTATTAAGTTCATAAAGCATGGGAAAGGTAAACTTATCGTATACATAGTTTTTTAACTCAAGTTTTTTCGCTCTTTAAAACTCCAACGTTATGATGATATGTAATTTTCGAAAAAGCAAACTCTTGATAACACGAATAAACTAAACTAGCAATAGATATTTCAGTTAATTAAGTCGGCAATAGCACACGTTTTACATTGATTTAAAGGCTGCCAAATAGAATTTACAACTGTGCAGCTTTCTATAGCATTGTATACTATGTGTAGATGTAGACGTGGGTTTTAAAACATAAAGAGATGTTAAATGTAAGTGACTAAACGTGCATGTACACATGGTTCCTAGTCAGCGACGTGCATGTCAGAGGATCCCATGCCTCTTCTGGTTGTTGGAAAGATGGTGAAGAGAAAGGTGGATAAAACCCCAGCTGCTAACGGCAAGTTGGTGATGAAGGCGCTTTCATTAGGGCCCACGTGAGGCATCAGACAGCTCTGAACATTGGTGTTTGTGATGGCGAATATCAGAAACACCACCAATGATAAGAACGCATGCACGAAGTCTATGCTCGAGATCTTGTACTTGTCCGATTCTGTCACTTCCTCAAACTGGCTATGGTTGAAGATGTAGAGACCTTTGAACGTGGCAATGCCGTAGTAGAGCCTACCATCTCTGGCCACGAAGCTATCGGTGAAGGAGGAGAAGAAGCAGAGCAGGGCACAGACCAGTATGGCGGACAGAGTAAGAATGTGGTTGGAGAGACGGCAGACGCCATTGTTGGAGAAAGAAGGAATGAGGGCATTGAAAGCAAGGACGGTGCTGGTGGGCAGAAGATTTGCCAAATTGGCCGCACTCGCCAGTGTCTTATGGACTGGATGGTTTGAATCAGGGTCTTGGATCAGAGATGATTGAGACATTTTGAGGCTATATAGTAATAATTAATCGGTGTTTGATTATGTTAGGATCTAATTTGTGGGGTTGGTCTTGTTGTGCATATACATATATGTAGAGAGAGAGAGAGAGAGATGGAGAGGTTACTTGATGACGTGGTTGATTAATATAATAATCGTGGAAACACTGCCGTCTGGGGGAGGTGGAATGGAATAATGGAATGAAAGGGCCGCCTGATTATACAACAGGCTTAAGCAACGTAATCATGACATGCTATTTAATTTCTTGTAGGTTTCGGAGGATAACGCTCAACAACACATACACGTACGGGAATCCGTTAGCTAGATTTATGTGTCTTCCAAATAAGGTGCGCTTGACTTGCACCCAAAAATAAACACTTAACCCCTTCCTACCTCCTTCCAACGAACTTGCGTTTCCCTGCTTGTTTGCTTCCCCCATTCCCATTCTCCAGATTTTTTGACCAAATTCTATATCTTCCCATATGTCATTTAGATTTCTTATTTTTGGACTTCTTTTAATGTCTTTTATATATATGGGCTCTAAACAGCCATAATTAGCTTCCACGTTAAGTTTGTCTTATGTGATGAGTAAAATTTATTCAGTACTAAAAGCCAGTCGTTGAGTTTGACATTAATCGCCGCCATAATATTTGTTTCATCTGCAGGCTGGCTGTCAAGTTGAAGAGAGACAAGCTAAACTCATGTCTGTGTTATATGTGTAGGCGTATGGTTCATGGATGATTGAATTTCTTCAAGCGTTCTCCCCTTAGTCTCTGGTACGAGTTTCGCCACGAACACAACAGTGAGGCCACATATGGAAGAAAATATGAAGAAAGTTCCTGCCCATGGCCATATGTACACATAACGTGAGTCTCCTTTCACTACATACAAGAATATTAAGCCAAGGATCTGATTATACCTGTTGAGTTCCAACCCATGAAGAAGTTAAAGGCATATGATACTATCCAAGAACCTAACCAGTTAATTAAGGTCACAAGGCTTCCTGCAGACCCCTTCACATTAATGGGAAATATCTGAAAACTCCCACAGATCAATCAAAATATGATTCAGCCAACTTCGGGGATTTATTAAAATATAATAATAGGAATTTAAGCATGGTAACAGAGACGAAGCAATATACCTCGGACATGATAACCCATGGAATTCCTCCCATGCCTAACGAGAAAGATCCTGTATATACCTGCCCATTTCTCACATTATTCATAAACTGCGTGGATCGCCTTTATCTTTCTAGATAACTTGGACTGAAAACCCCATGATAAATTTCCAACATGTAGAATGATTCCTTATCATAAGGCTTTTAACTTAAGCCCGATGGTTTTAATCTTGAACCTTTTCTCACGAAAGCAAATCACTTCATTAGCTACTGTCCACTAGTTTGTATTGAATGAATTACGTTTTACTCTCATCATATGAACAGGAAAAGAAAAACTATCATTAGGCTACTTATCAGTACCAGCACACCAACGAGAGCCAAAATGGGAGAAACCTCCGTCCATTTCTGAAGGTCCTGTATTCAACAAATTTGTCTATATATATTAGAGATAAATAGATGTGAAGAAAACAAGGCAGATTTTGTTGATGAATGAACCTGCAATAAGAATGATAGGGCTGCAAGAAAGCATCCTAAACATGTACCCCCAGCAGAAACCTGTACGGCGAAGGTAATTAATATTGTAGCTTCACAACTTCATTTGATCGAGCGCCACAAAAAAATTAAGACCAAGCTCAGTCTCCTCACCAGTAGAAGTGGTCGCCGTCCAGATTTGTCCATCAGAAGTACGCCCAAAGCTGTCATTGGGATCTAGAAGGGTACATCTATATAAGTCAACTTAATCACTATTTTGCACAAAACAAAAGGCAAAACTCGGTTAAGAGATTCAAGAACCTGAACAGCAACCATGGCTATTGTTCCCACACTATCTGAGAAACCTGTCAAATATCAAAATTTTTGCTTGCTAATATTTGTGTGCGGGCGCGCGCGCGCCTGATATGTAAAAGAAGCATCAAATACTTCCCACATACCAGCAGAGATAAATATAGAACTCGCATAAAACGCAATGCCATTAACCCCTCCAAATTGTTGTAGTATCATCAATCCGAGTCCAACCTAATCGAGGAATTAATTGGTCATAAAACTATGCAATTCGTAAAGTTACACGAATGAGGCTGACTTGTGAAGCTTACAGTAAGTGCTTTAAGATACTGCCTCTGAAATAAGTCAGCCATGCCAGCTTCTGATTCCTTCTGAAGGTTTTCTGTATAGTCCTACAGAAGAATAAGTGGGAACTATTTAATATTCCATTATAAATTATGGCATTCACACCCTTCTCTTTTGCTTCCTAATATATTGAAATGCATACTCTAATTTCGTTGGCTTCGTCAGAAACATCCGCATTCTCTCCCCTGAGGTGTTGTAAGGTAGATTTACTCTCTTCCATGCGACCACCCTTTGCCTGAACAAGTTTACAGCCACACCACTTATTGGAGATGTTTGTCTATAGACTAATCTCAGCTCAATCCATCATTTGGAAAGATTATAAAGAATTTCATTCCATTGTATCTTCTATACACAAGCTAAAAGTAGACCAGCATAGCAAAAGATGAGGAACTCACGAGCCACCTAGGAGACTCACGAATGAAGAGTAGGCCAACCAGCTGTACAACACATGGAACAATTCCTGAAATGAACACCAATCAGCGGAGCCTAACAAAGAGTATGTTCTTTCATTTAGTGAGATGAACAGTAGCAAAAGAACATTACCAAGTAATGCCAAAACCCGCCAATTCAAAAATGCTCCCATTAGATAAGTCAGAGATACTCCACAGCAGATCAACAACTGTCACAAGTATATTAATGTCAAACGGGGACACGGAACATGTAACAAATTGTTAACTTAGAATAAGAGTTATAGGATAATCTTTGGAGGGGATACGTCGTTGATTTACCTGATGAATTGTTGTAAATCCCCCTCGAAGATTCTTGGGGGTTATTTCTGCTATATAAACTGGCACCTTTGATGGAAAATGAACTAGCTTTTAGTTTCTATTTTGTGAGAAAACAAGCCAATAAGTATCATATAAATTGTAATTATAGAAATCACACACAAGAGTTACCACATAAGATAGAAGACCAATCCCACATCCTACCAACAGTCTTCCAATGTAAAGCCACCAAGCAACCTTTAAACACGCACCGAGCATTCAACGTAAACAATCGATAGCGAGCTAGATTTGTTATTAATTCCTCTATGACTCCTCTGTGGTGAGTTTGAGTAGCTAAGAAGTAACAAAGCGACATATATAGAGAAATACAGGCATAAAAAAATGGGAAAAGATTACAGTAGACCTTTGTGATTGCTATGGCAAGCCATCCCAAGATGCAAAATATCTGTGAGAAGCACATGGCCTGATCTTGCAGAAACAACCAGACGATCACAATTAAAAGAGGGGTCAAGCCTGACCTCCCGACTTCAGTAAAGGAATAGAGATAAATGGGAGAAACTTACTCCTCGACGACCCGCATAATCTGCCACCCTACCACTCAGCATGGCACCAATCATTGCTCCAATCGTCAATATCGAACCAAATACTGAATACTGCACCATGAGAATTGAGCAAGAGTACGGTTTTGCATCGCAAAGGCGAGCAAACGAGAAATAAAGCATACTGAAAATAACTGCACATACAGTAGTTCCTGATGTTCTGTTGTAATATGCAATACTTAATACAAATGGCCTAAAGCCGAAGCAGAGTTTTAATTCAAAGGCTCAAACCTGTGACACACTAAGATTGATGTCGTACATAATTCCAGACTGAGCAGGTGATGAATAACCAACCTGTAAAAATCAATCATTGTCAAGTCAGTGTTGAAACCAAGCTCTTGAGCCAAACTTGGTAATGGGAAGGCAGGTGGCAGAAATTTACAGCAGACCCAAAAATATAAGATCCAGAGAGAGCAACGATGGTGCTAAGTATAAGAATTGGTGTTGCCGGAGAAGCTTCACGATGCTTAATTTCATAGTGGCCAGTGGTATCATCGCAGATGTTTCCCCAATCTGAGTTTCGGTGGGATTCTTTTATGCCTTTGAAGAGAAGAGGACTTGAAAATTCGGTTGCCTCTGTGCTACTCCTGTCCATGAGGGTGTCTTTAGACGAAGTCCAGCTAGCTAGGCGAGTCAGGTATGTGGGATTAAGGTACAGGATTAAGATTTTTTTTGACCTGTACAAGGCGAAACGATTGTGATGGACAAGACGATGACCAATGACTGCAAAACAGGGCAGTTTGTAAGATAAGATTGATCAAGTTTGTCGTGGCGCTGAGGCTGGTGTATAACTTGCAGCTTTAAGTTCATTGGTTGAACAACTTCACATCATGGGTGCATGCATGAAACAACTTAAAAGTAATTCGTGAAATGAAAGATGGAAAAAAAATAATATTTTGATACCAATGATAAAAAAATTTCCATAAAACTTATCGATGGGGATATAAGCAACTTGATAAAAGCAGAGGATAATCTTAACTCAGAGAAATGCTGGAGAATACTCTCCATCCATTTTAAATCATGTATATTCGCAAGACTTGATGTAATATCTGTTTATAGGTAACCGATTGTTTAATATTAATTCATGAATCACGTCGCATGTATGCTAACATCATGATGAATATTTTGCAAAAGCAAATAATATGCTTAGATTCATTTGTCAATGTCTGTGCGCTTAATATAGATTCATGGATGGAGAACAAAAATAAGATAAGATGATTTATGTAAGTCACGATTAGACTACGTGATTTGAATTTTGGGAGCTGATATTCATAAAAAGAATTTGTTTACATATTATCAGCAAAAAATTTATGATTCCTTTGATACTTTGAGAAAATGTCATAGTTAAATTTTTTTTTTAAAAAAAAAGAAAAATGACAAAAAAAGAAGTTGGAAATTATTAAATCCCAAATGAGATTTGTTAACAATACTTTATTTGTTATTGATAATACTAAATTTACAAATGACAGTAAATTTTTGTTGACATTCCTTATTTAAGAGTACTCCTTCAATCCTAATTATAAGGGTCAATTGACTAATTTGAAGAGATTAAAGAAGTAAGTTAAATTAGTTATTTGTTTAAATAAGTGTTGTCTTTCCTAAAAATATAATTAAGTGTATTAACTAGAACTATCATTGTTAGAAGGACTACTTTAAAAAAAATATATATAAATATGAGAAACAAAGTGGATTGGGGTCTTATATTTAGGACCAAAATAAAAGTTAAACAGAGTCTTATATTAAGGACCAGAGGTAGTATTTAATAATTTTGAGTTTTTTTGGTCATTTTTCCTTTAAAAAATCATGTCCTTGAACAATAATAAAATTATATCTTTAACAATTTACTACCTCCGGTCCTTAGTATAAGATCTTATTTGACTTTTATTTTGGTCCTAAATATAAGACTCCAATCCATTTTGTCTCTCATATTTATACTTCTTCCTAAAATAACCCTTCTAACAATGGTAGTTTTTATCTATACATTTGGTTAGTAAAGATATTTTAGGAAAGACAACATCTATTTATTACAAATAACTAACTTAACTTTTTTTCTTAATGTCCTTAAATTAGTCAATTAATTCTTATAATTAGAATCAGAGATAATATCATGTGACAATGGGCTTTAGAAAACAAAAGGGCCAGGCAAAAAATGATTTAAGATTTACTTTTTTCTTCTTCAAACACATTCATTGCTTTATTTTTATGACGTTCTCATATAAGTCGCAACAATTTACTTTTAACTGATAATGCTATTTTATCTTTCACCAACGGTTGTCATTATTGTCACATGATTTTTGTCGCTGGTATTCATTTTTCCTACACGTGATTTTCAAACTCCATTCATCGCTTTTCATTGTCTGAAAGGCTCTGCTTTGTTATTTAGCAGGAGCTTGCGTGCGTCTCTTGTCATCCAATGGTAGAGTGTTTAATACTTTTTATTCCACATTTTAAGATCTTAGGCCTCCTCAACCATTAAAAACGTCCTTTTCTCATAAATAACTTGATTAAAAAAGAAACAATTTATAACACCTGTAACGACTAGTTCACCCACACACACAAAAAAAAAGAGAGACTAATACCTTGCTTAAATGACAAAGATATCATTAATCAAATAGTAAAATAGCAAAAATAATAGAACAAGGCTTACGAGGAAAAGGATACATTTTATATTTAAAGCAGTAACGCTTTTTTTATTAAAAAATGATTGATATAATTTTTTGTCCTTTAAATTTGTTTTATTTCAGTTTTAGTCCCTCAAAGAGTAAAATGATCTAATTTTTTTTATTGGATTATAAAAATCAATTTTATAAATAAAACAAAACTTGACGGGTCAAAACTTATAATTTGAAATTTAACAGATCAAAACTAAAATGAAGAAAAATTTACTAAACCAAATTTTGTACTAACAAAAAAAACTGGATAATTATTGCTTAACGGTTCGATGACTTGATCAGAGATTTGACAATTACGTGCTTGCCTATTTGGGTAAGCGCACGCTGCTACCATGCTGTATTGGGGGGAAGTTCCATATGATTAGAAATTCACACGGGAAGATAGAGATTATTTCAGCGTCAAAAAAATAGCAGCAGTGATAATAATACCAGCGATCCTTTTACATAAACAAATAAAAATTAGGGAAAGCTTACCAGTGACATAGGTAACATACATGTCAGTTGAAGAAAAAAAACAAAGATGGTTTATAGACGGATCTAATACAAATCGCTTAAAATGCTGATTTTCCTTTGGGTGCGCATCTGCATCTAGATTGAGATATTCTCATCGCTTGTCGTGGCGTAATCAATATACCCTGCTCAGGTTTTTAAAATTCCTCCAGCTTCTTTCCGGATGCGAATTCTGCCCCTAGACTTTCTCGCAACTTCACTTGGCGCCCTAAGTTATTCAATAATCCCATCTGACTCCCACGTGCCCATTTATGCCCGCGCCGTGCAATGTCGAACTCACCCCCCATTATTCAATCACCGGAAGGACATGCCTGGCATTATCGAAAATTTAATGTGTTGTGAAGGGCATTTCAGACAATGACCGGCTTTGCGATTAGCAACAAGCAGAGCCTGGCGAGTCCAAACTCCAAAGTCCAAAACGAAGGGAGAGACAGAAGAGAAAGGAACCGTGTTGAAGGTCAAAATTGCTCAACCACCACCAATTGAAGCCCGACTCCGTGGTTCTCCGAAGGTGTTCCTAGCGATTTCCGACTTCTAAAACTCTTATGCTATATCCGATCGACAGCGGTCCGCGACTCTCGTCGGCGGTGACAGAATTCCCGGTGAATCACCGGTGGCCTGTCTTAGAGCCCTTCATTGACTATGAAGCATCACGCCAAAGAAAATAATAGCAAGAGCAATGGGTTTATCCCCTCTTCTTTTAAGTTCATATCTTCTTGCATTAAGACTGCCTCCTCCGGAGTCCTTTCTGCCAGCGCCTCCGTCGCCGCCTCCATCGCTGCCGATGGGCATGACCGTAAAGACCAGGTTCTTTTGACGGAAACGCTTTGACCTTTTGATTTTAGTCCGTATGCCCTATATTGGTGGAGAAATTGCATTCCTCGCATATTATGTAATGCCTGGCTGCCTCGTTAACTGGACGGTGAAAAACTTAATCTGTGAGGACAATAAATGGCTTTGCTGGAAATGTTGTTCAGATTGCTTAGATACTGAACTACGTCCAAGAAAATGCGTTCACAACTATTATTTCATTTGTTTTGCCTCAAAAGTTTAACTAATGACTTTATCTTTTTATACTGAAAATCTTTCGATACACGATATAAATTCTAGGGCTTCTTTCGACGCATGCATTCCAATTCCATTTTTGTTTTTCTTATTTTGGTTACGGCCAGAGGTATTGGAATGTTCTGATTGAAATTATTTTTCTGAATGATAAAATCATTTCAAGCCAGAATAAATGTGTTGTTTTGGTCGATGACGGAATTGTATGATTATGGATACGGTCATGTCGAGCAGGTGAGTACATGCATGCCGCTTTTAAGAGGCTTTGTTGGTGCTGGCTGCTGGCTGCAAACTAAGCAGTACTAATGTGCCTCAAATTGTACGGACATGTTTTGATCAGTACTTTTATAATTCTTTGAAGTTTCTTTCTTAGAAAGCCGTATGGCATATTTGGATATTGTGAAGGAAACCTGTCGTATGGTCATTAAATTTAGTGTTGCCTTTTCACTTTTATCTATTCAGAATGACATTTAAAGTCATGTGCTCTTCAACGTCCTAGAAAGCAGACTATCTTTGGCTAAAAAACAAAGTCCTTTATTCTAGAAACTACATAAGCATGGCATGCATGTATAAATAACTATGGAAATAAAATAAAACATGAATATGAGATCGTCTTGGATGTCACCAGGGTTTATATCTTCTTGCAAATGACTCCATGTGTATTGTGAAGCAGGTACTTTGGGCTTGCTTCGACAGGCTAGAACTTGGCCCATTTTCTTTCAAACATGTCCTCTTACTGGGATACTCCAATGGCTTTCAAGTTCTTGATGTGGATGATGCCTCGAATGTCTGTGAACTAGTCTCTAAACGGGATGATCCAGTTTCATTTTTACAGATGCAGCCTATCCCTAAAAAGTCTGAGGGGTGTAAAGGATTCAGTGCATCACATCCATTACTCTTGGTCGTTGCATGTGATAAATCAAAGATCCCGGGTACAATGCAAAACGGAAGAGATGGATATACTGAACCTCAAGCTGAAAACGTTGTCAGCTCAGCTACTGCTGTTCGATTTTACTCACTTAGGTTCCATAGCTATGTTCATGCCCTGAGATTTCGATCAACTGTGTATATGGTTAGATGCAGTCCACAAATAGTGGCTGTGGGTCTCGCTGCACAAGTAAGGTTCTGATTTAATTGCCTATTTTAAATTACTCTACCACTTCTGCTCGGAAATAGTTGTGTTACCTGGGCAGGAAATATGATAGCTTTTTGTAAGTACTGATCAGATTCATCAATATCCTTCAGCATTTTTCAAATTTTAGATTGCACAGTGGCACTGGTAGTTTCTCAGTTTACTTTAATGAAATACTTAAAATATTGGATATGAACTCAAATGAAATATGACATGATGTGGTTTTCTGGCGACCACTGAGATGTGGCTAATTTTTTCCCCCATTGTTATCATCTTGGCAGATATACTGTTTTGATGCTCTTACTCTCGAGAATAAATTCAGCGTCCTCACTTATCCTGTACCTCAGTTGGGAGTCCAAGGAATGGGTGGGGTTAATATTGGCTATGGTCCGATGGCTGTAGGGCCCCGTTGGTTAGCTTATGCTTCTAACAACCCATTGCCATCAAATACTGGTCGTCTAAGTCCTCAGAGTCTTACACCTCCAGCTGTCAGCCCATCAACATCACCCGGCAATGGAAACCTGGTAGCTCGATATGCAATGGAATCTAGTAAGCATCTGGCCGCTGGCCTGATAAACCTCGGTGACATGGGGTACAAGACGCTGTCTAAATACTATCAGGATCTTATGCCAGATGGATCTAATTCTCCTGTGCCATCAAATTCAAACTGGAAAGTCAGTCGGTATTCACCACATTCTACAGAAGCAGATACAGCCGGCGTGGTGAGCCTTTTGGCATTTTGACTGCTTGATGATTTATAGTCTCATTTTCATCTGCACTGTGATAACTGCTGACTAGATTTATTTAGAAGTATATTGGAATCAGCATTAGAATTTGGATGAGATCATCTATTGGTTCAGCTTATTGATGTCTCTTTTCCTTTTCCCTGCCCCCTTCCTTTTAGGGTTGGTGTTTTATGTCAACTGAAAGTCATTAATATATATGCCAACTGACTTTTATTAATGACTTTATTACAGGTTGTTATCAAGGACTTTGTTTCTAGAGCTGTTGCAGCGCAATTTAGAGCCCATACTAGTCCCATCTCTGCTTTGTCCTTTGACCCTAGTGGGACACTTCTAGTTACTGCATCAATTCATGGCAACAACCTTAATATATTTCGAATTATGCCATCTGGCTCAAAGAACGGATCAGGTTCCCAAAGCAGTGAGTGGAGTTGTTCTCATGCACATCTATACAAGCTACACCGTGGCATGACATCAGCAGTATGCTCCTATTCTCTCTATTTCTCTGAGACATTTTTGTTTTGTCTACTGATGAAGGATTCCTACTTGTGTATACAGGTCATACAAGATATATGTTTTAGTCATTACAGTCAGTGGGTTGCAATTATTTCTTCCAAGGGTACTTGTCATATCTTTGTCCTAGCCCCATTTGGTGGTGAGACAGTTCTTCAGATACAGAACCCGGACATGGAGCGACCAACTCTTTTGCCAATTTTTTCTCTGCCGTGGTGGTTCACTCCTCATTTCACAGCAAACCAGCAACAGTTTTCCCTTGCACCCCCACCTCCCGTCACTCTCTCTGTGGTTAGCAGAATAAAAAATAGTAATGCTGGATGGCTTAATAATGTTAGTAATGCTGCATCTTCTGCGGCAGGGAAAGTCTCAGTTCCATCCGGTGCTGTTTCGGCCATCTTTCATAGTTCCATGCCCTATGATACACAGAATGCACACTTGAAGGCTCAGGCTCTGGAATACTTGTTAGTTTATTCTCCTTCTGGTCATTTGGTTCAGTATAAACTACTTCCTTCAATGGCAGCGGAGACAAGTGAAACTGCCCCAGGTACAGCCCCGGCTCCTTCAACACAGATACAAGAAGAGGATCTGCGGGTGAAAGTTGAACCGATTCAATGGTGGGATGTCTGTAGGAGAAATGATTGGCCAGAAAGAGAAGAATACATATCAGGAAAAAGTCTCAGTGGACAAGAAGCTGCGGAAATGAGCTTGGAGAATTCAGGTTATGAATATGATGATGTTGCCAGCAATAATATTATAAAATGCAATGAGAAATGCCTTTTCTCAAATGCGGAGGTGCAGATGAACTCTGGAAGGATACCAATCTGGCAGAAGTCTGAGGTATCCATTGTGGTTTCAATTATAAATATTTCTGCCGTTGCCTTTCATGCATATGTTTATTCAATGAACTCCCCCTTCCCCTCTTTTTCTCCTCTTCGATTTTCAGGTGTCTTTCTATGTGATTAGTCCTTTGGAGGTGAAGGAGCAGAATTTATGTGATGGACATCAAACAAACGGAGAGATTGAAATTGAGAAGATTCCTGTTATTGAGGTTGAAATAAGACAAAAGGATTTGTTGCCTGTCTTTAATCATTTTCATGGAATTCATTCCACTTGGGGTGACAGGTAATGATCACTTATCCTCTTTTGATTGTTTTTTCTGGTTCTGGATATGGAGCCTGGTTCCAGTTAAAGAATTAGATTTTTAAATCCTATAGATCCTGTTCACACTTGGACCTCACAAGAGTTGAGGAATCTTTTATATATACATATATATTATTTTTTAATGTATTTGCAGCATTGTTCTTGTATGACTTTATACATGGTTTTTAGTTAAGGATCCTCTTTTAATTTACCTTTCTGACTGGTTTGCTTTGTTTCTGGTTTAATTCATAGATGAGCATAGTTTTACCTTTAAAATTGTCATGTGTTTGGGATGTTCGATTTGGATAGCTGTGGTTCCTTCTGCTTGAATTTATATGTCCTTATGAGAGAAACAAGTATTAGTAATTTGGCAGTTATGGTTCCTTCTATTATCTGTTATTCCTTTTTTCTGATGTTTTTAAATTTTTGTCAGAGGTGTTGTTATGGGTAGATTCTCAAGTTCTTCATCCGATTCGCATGGGGTTGAAGAGAAGTTTTCAGAAGATGCTGTAATTAACCATTCAAAGTCAATGGTTCCCAGCTCGTCTGAAAAGACTGATGGTGGTAAGATGAGCAACTTACTATAATAATGTTACGTATATAAGTGACATGTATAACTCTTTCTTCTCATCAATTATCTTAGGCTTGTCAGCATGTTTTGCTTCATCAAATGGCTTGTCTAGTAATGAGACTGATTGCAAGAGCAGAGAGGATGCTACGGTGGCATCACCTGTTTTAAGGCAGGAAATGGTTTTCGAGGAAGATGTTTCAATTGGTGCCTCGCATTTTGCTGATAGTGTAAAAGCAGTAGCTAAACTGTCAGAGAGTACCCGAACTAGTGATGATTTGAATACGAGTTTAGATGGTTATAATTTTAACACGAATGTTGTTGATGGGGAGCCAGTAGATAACTCGCCTGACTTTCCGCAATTTTTTCAAGAGGGATATTGTAAAGCAGCAGATGAATGTGACGAAACAACAGAAGTTGTTAATGATGTTGATTGTGGCAGGCTGAAGCCTGGGGACAACAGTGATGATGACATGCTTGGTTGTGTATTTGACTTCTCCGAGGAAGGTATGAATTTGAAGGTTTTGCTTGGCGATTTCATTGAGTTTTAGCGTTGTGATTTTATTTTATTTTTTTTTTTTGGTGTTCTTATGAAATATATGTGCTCGTTGTTGCAGGTTGAGGACTGCTTGCTTCACGATTGTCTCCCATTTAAAATTATTGTAAATGGTTTGGTGTAAAGAATTTGTTTGACAAGTGCAGGTGATTGATTTTCAACAAGCTAAGTGCTACTGACCATTGATTCGAGGAATTTAATGTTCTTCGCTCACAATATTCCTTGCTGGGCAAATTATTCTTTCACGTCCTTCTAATTTTCATGTAAATGTTGTATATTGGAATTCATGATTATAAATGATTTGTGTGAGCCGGTTCTTTATATGTCTGTAATATATATATATATATATATATATATATATATAATTTCTTCACGATATGAAGCACAAGGGAAAATGACAGCGCGAGGAAAGATGTTGGATAAAACGAGCATGAGCGTGTTACTCTGTCAAATACTGAATAGTGAATACCCATCAGATGATATTCCTCCCTCTAAAGCATCCATCCATGCAGGGAGAATGATTGATATTCGTAAAGGCTAATCTTCTGAAGTCCCCTAGCACGAATTTTTTCCCTTCTCTCTGTCCTCTTTCTCTGCTTCTTTTTTCTTTTGTACTGATGTTACGTTAAATGATTTCTAGCAAAATTTGTTCCATGTTAATAATTATGAAATTCCAAAAGTTTTATTTTCTCAAAAGAAAGAAAACTGATTTATAAGTTCTTGATTCATATTTTTCTTTCTTGTTCAATTGCGTACGCATTAAAAATGCTCTGCTCCGACAAGGTAAATAAAAATGAAAAAAAATATTTTGGTCCTATTTATTTATGAAACACTGATTAAGAAAAATATTAAAAAGGTACTAATTTTCCATTAAAACAGAAAATACTATTTCTATTTAACATACATTTTTTTAAAAAAAATTATTATTTTTATTATAATAAATGAAAGAACCAAATAACACAATCTTTCCCCTTACATGCAACGTTACGGCTTTTTTTCTCAATTGAAAATAAAGGATGTGGCCAACTGAAAATAATGCAAGAGCGCGGAGGGGTGCGTGAGGAATGGGGAATTGCATCGAGGAAACACATGCTGCATTGTGAGTGGTGGGAAGCAGCCCACCTAACCCCACAACACAGGTTATGAAAGCCCCTTTCAACTCCCTCCAATCTTGTAATCATTTATCATTTACTTTCACATATACTTCCCCTTCCACCACCCCACCTGCGTCACATACGCATCCCTCTTCCACATTTGCCCTCTGCGCAAGTTACATAAACTGCCTTTCTTTTTTGGGTCCAGTAGTGAGCAGTTATAAGTGTCATTTTTGTGATAGCTGTATTGCAACTTGCTGAATAAAATATTTGACATCTGACATACGAGTGCAATAGCTGCGAGACATTTAAGTGACCCTCGCCCCTCTGATGCTGGAAGCGACAGCTCGTGCTTGGCGCGCAACACTTGCACTCTATATTTTCTGAGCTCTTGTGTTTTGACAATACGACCCAGGCCCCTCGCCTCCCCCAATAACCTCTCTCTTGAAACGTCACTTCCACTCAGATTTGAAAGTACTCTCCGACAACTCTCATTCATTTTCCTGTCTCCATAAAATCTGCCAAAAACACAGAGAGGGATGAAGAGTAGGGGCAAACATGAGGGTATCATCCATAGTATATACTTTAGTTAATGAGCAGGAGTGACTCTATGCATATGGGGATGAGATCTTGCGAGTTTGAGTGACGGAGAGCGTACGTGCGAAGTAGTGAAGGGACGGGTATTAACAAAAAAGGAAGGAAAGAAAGAACATTGCTTTTTGAATAACTCCACGTCTAATCTTGTATCATGCCAAATTGGTATTTCGAGACAGGTGTGTTGAATTATTCTCTGTCTTTCCTTTCACTGTCTTTTAGAAGGGACAAAATCAACCAAAAATATCTCAAGATGCCCGATGTAACAATAATTGATGTCGTTTTGAGCATGTCCACTCTTTTGAAGTTTATCTTGATACTGATGCCTGGCCTTCTCTTTGTGGGAAGCAGGCTGATCACATCAGCTGGCGTACGACATAATTGACGTCTCCAATTTGTTAGCCAAAGACTGTGGCTTAACTTTGTCTCAATAATTAAAATTCCATTTCAACAATCAGCCTCCTTGCCTCTTCAGGCTCTGCATCTTGTTTTATTTCCTGTTCTTGTGCCGGCTTCAGCCTGTTTGACATGCAGATTTTGTTTTTTGGCTTCCATAAATTTCACCCTTTTCGACCAATAAAAGACTCCATTTCAACGGGGATGAATACGTGAGCAGAGAAAAGTCAAGCCTTTGAAATTTAGAGCCATTGCTCTCACAGACAAGTAACAGTACCTTGGGATGGGGGTTGGAATTTTAAAAAATAAAAAGAAAATAGTATTAAACATGGAAAATATTGATGGCACGTAGCATCAGGTTTTGGATCCTGTGCTGGCTCCTTTATTAAACTAGAGATTAAATTTTTCGCCTATAAAACAAAAGAGGAGAGTCACCACTAATTCGAGAGCTTTCTGCAGACTTCGACCCTCGACAAATTTTTCTGTCCGGTAAATAGTCACTGCCACTTCAGAGCAGAAGTTGCATTATATAATCTCTTGGGCCCCAGAAGAAAGCTGAAATGAGTGTCTAATATAGTGAACAGTGAGTTAGTGGTTAAAACATCAGAGGCCAACAATGGATGCTGTGGCTCATTTGAGGAACCAGTTGGTTGATTATACCGCCTCTCTGTTTCAGGAGGTATGTATGCTAAAATCTTGTCACTATGCAGTGCGCTGAATCAGGAAGGAAAATCTGGTGGTTCATGTTACCTGTGATACTGCGTCTGTTCTACTTTTGTCTTTATCTCCTGTCCTTCCTCTTCGTGAGTGTGAGCCTGATTCAGTGCGCTAGTTTTAGTGATGTCTTTGTTGTGTTTGAAAAGGGTTTTCTAGATGATCAATTTACTCAGCTCCAGCAACTTCAAGATGAAAGCAACCCAGACTTTGTGGTTGAAGTGGTGACTCTCTTTTTTGAAGACGCAGAGAGACTTCTTAATGAGCTGGCAAAAGAACTGTATGGGCACATTCTCTGATACACCGATCCCTTGTTTTTATGTCTGAGTCTGTGTTATATGATTGTCTTGTTAACTTCATTGGTTGATTAATCTGAGTCAGAGGCCAGGCAAGTATCGACTTTAAAAGAGTGGATGCCCATGTTCACCAGTTGAAGGGTAGTAGCTCCAGGTAACACCATCCCTGAAAACTCAGTATAGCACGCTCTTCCTACAAACTAGACGTGTGTCAGGCCCTTGTAATACGCTCCTTTTGTTCATGTAGAAAGATTGCAAATGTAGGGTGTGTGCTTGAAGGGCCTTTTTCTCTGCAGGCAAAATGGAATAGATGTAAAATCTGTTTAGTTAACACTTTCAACTTATACCGGCCAAGAGATTACGAATGCTTCATTGTTTCTACGACCACTGTTTTGGTGAGTTGATGATTATTCTATTGGGAAATGTATGCAGTATTGGAGCACAGCGAGTTCAGAAAGTCTGCATTGCCTTCCGCGGATATTGTGAGGAGCAGAATGTTGAAGGGTAAGCTTCTTCTCAATCCCATATTGAAATTGAAACCCTGTCTTGTGTGAAAGGTCATAAAGAGTAAAGGGGGTGGTGTTCATTATTCAGGTGTCTTAAAAGCTTGCAACAAGTAAAAGAAGAGTATTGGTTGGTGAAAAACAAGCTTGAGACTCTATTCAAGGTAAGGGCTGATATCATGAAAAGTTGTTTATAACTGATCTAATTCTTGTAGTTTTACTTAATGGGGATGGATGCAGATGAAGCAACAGCTTCTGGCTGCCGGGGGTTCGGTTCCAATGTAGAGAGATGAGACAGAGATTGTTGCTGCAAAGCCCTACTCATAACCAGAGAGCATGAAACGATGGCATCTCCAATCTGCAAAAACAAGAGCAGCCACTTCTGTAATATTTTCTTCGGAGATTCCACTCTTCGTTTATGATGTTGTCCATTCTAAATGGATTCTTCATTGGTCCACTTTTAATAACAGAAGCTTCATGATTAACCCCTTCACATGGTTTCGAAAAAGAAAACAAAACGAAGAAACTACTACTGAGTTAAAAGCTGGACCTCCCAGCAAGAAATCAAAAGGATGACCATAATAATGATAAAACGTGGTTGTGCTTTAGCAGAAATGCTCCTTTCGCTTATTGAGTAAATCCACGAGAGTTGCCATGCTTCTTTGAAGTTACTAGTACTATTGTACTGTCACGCGCACATATATTGTCGTCCCCAGTACGGCGCCCATAATAGTTACTCTATACCTACCATTTCCTTGGAGATCTCTCTTCCGATAATACTATCGCTAAATCACTGTTCCTCGCCCAGGAAACTGGTGAAGCAAATTACTGCCTTCTTGGTCGAGCATAATAATTCACCTCACAGCGTGTGGCATGGGACTGACTAAATTTGTGGTATTGGGGAATGGGTTTCTGAGAAGTGAGAACACATGCAGAACGTGAGTTTATGACTTGGATAACAAATAGTATTACTGCAAAAACTCTCTGCCGACGAGTCGCTGAGAGAATCCGACATCCTTGTTAGCTGTTTATGGTATTTTTATTTTCATGTGGACTACGTTCAATGAATAGGGTTATTAAGGTCAACTTCTAGAGGGGTGAGCTGTCTCTTCTGCCCTCTCTCGCAGCTAATTTTGCTGACAGAATCAAAGTACACGCTGTATTGACAATTGTGACAGACAACGCCTCATTATTATCTCCTTCCCACTGAGCTTGTAAGAGACTGCATACGGGGGAGATCAAACCGAACCGCTCTTGTTTTGTTTTTACATAAACATCATGTCGTACGAAAATGCTTGCCGATCTTATTTATGCAAACCCGTCAAAGATTCCTCCAAAGCCAGCTTCCTCACCTAATCCGAAGTCATCATAGCTTTTGAATGATCATTACAATACAGACGCACAGAATGCCCTGTTTGGCTTATTGTATGTAAGGGGCATATCATCAATTATAATTCATAAACAAATGGTTGGGCCTCAACGTCATGACGATGACAGCCGATGAGGAATCTCTGAGGATTAAAAAAATGGGGAGGCAATTGGATTAAATAACCGGGTGAATGAAAATATCCAGAATATATTTATGCGGAGGAGTCATGATGTGATCTAATTTAATAAGGCTTGGGGGCAAATGTCTCTAAGAAAGAGGTTCCAGCGCAGCAGATTCCACATCATCTGAACATCACATCGAGTGAGGGAGTTCTGTTCCTGCCCTGACTCTCCATTTTCCCAGTAATTAAATCAACCAAGCATACTATAATGTTTTGGTGCTCATCTTTAAAAACAATAATTAATACTATAAGTTGGGGCATGCATTTACGTTACGTACAAGAGCCTGGAGGCTACAATGCCCGAGGCGCCTTGTGTTTTTTTAATGAGTGCAGCAAAATTACATCGATGCCCCGCATTCGCTGGACTGGGCTTAAGCTAAGAAGCGTACGCCACTGCAGAAGCAAATTGATCCAAGCCCATCATAAAATAGGTATAGGGGTAGGAGTCTCACATGAAAAGTTCATTCTCGTCCTTTATTTCCTTGTGTTTTTTCCTATCTTATTTCTAAGAGATGAAAGGCTGGCCTCGTTGGCAGGAAAAAAAAAAAAGAAATAGAAATAAGAGTAAATGTGTGAGATTTTTTTACAACATCTGGGAAGTTTAAACGCAAAATATTTCAATTATACAACATTTTTAAAAAAACACACGGTTTTGTATTTCGATCTTGAACAATTGTTTTACATTTTGTAATGAATTTCAAATTAATAAAATTGTATAAATATTTAAATTAAAACTAAACAAAATTTTTCATCAAATGGCCGCTTGTGGGTATTTTCTCCAGACTGAAAAATTTGCATTGCAGAAAAAAGAAAAAGAAAAAGAAAAATTTGCATTGCAATAGATGTAGTTGCTGTGGATGTATCTAACCCGAACCCCCGTAGGGCCGTAGGCCCAAAACAGAACTCCAGAAAACACGTGACGGCCATAATCATTCCATTGATTTCTAGGCGGCCAACCACTCAAATTCCCAAAATTTGAATTTTGAGAAAGCGGAGAGACAAAAACCCCTCGGCATCCGCTGCGCAAACCTCTGCCTCTTTATCTTTCTTATCTCCGCCTCTCATCTCACGTATCCACCGTAAAACCCTAAAAAAAACCCTAATCCTCTTCCTATTCCATTCGTCACTTTCTCCAAGTATGGCCAAAAAGAAGGTGTCCCACCCTCAATCCCATGACCACAATTTACATGAACACGATGCCCCTCATCCTCACCATCACACCCCACACTCCCATTCCCACCAATCTACTAACATGGATGATCCTAGTGATCAGCTTGAGAAGCTCAAGAACCTCAACTCCCTTCTGGTCAAGGAGACTGCTGAACGCCGCCAGCAAGTTGACTCCCTCACTCAGGACAAAGAGGCCCTGGAATCGGCCTTCAGTCGTTCTGCCATGGAGAAGAGAGACCTGGAGTTTCAGCTCTCTGAGGCGGCAGACGGTAATGCGAGCTTGCATTTGGACAAAGCCGTGGTTCTTGTTTATGTGCAGACCCAGGTGAGGGAAATGGGTTTTCGCTTCCATAAGCTTGTTGCTCAGAGAAATGAGATAGAGTCTGCTAAGTCTGAGAGGGATGCCGAGATTGCTATGTTGAAAGGAGAACTGTGTAAGCTTACGGTTCGTCTTGAAAGCGAGAGGGACCAGTTAAGTAGGCTGAGCCGAGAGAGGGATGATTTGAAAGTTGATTTTGACGGTATGGTTGACGAGGCAAACCGATTGAAGGAGAGAGTTATTGAAGCGGAGAAAGCAGAAAGCAGGCTCAGGAGCGATCTTGAGAAGTTAAGGGTGGAAGGTGATAAGTTGACGGAGGAGAAAGATGAGAAAGAAAGAGCAATTAGAGAATTGACGAAAGAAAGAGATTTTGCTCTGAGGAAGTCGGCAGAGTCTGCCAGGTTGATTGATGAGTTAAAGGGAGAGATTGGCGTAATTATGAGGGCGAAGTGCGAGACCGAGGAGCAAAAACATGCACAAGAACTGAAAATCAGTGGCCTGGAGTTAGAGCTGAAAAAACTCAACGAGTCTCTGAATAATAGTCGGGAGGAAGAGGCGATTATGCGTAATAGCATTACTGAATATGAAAAGAGTCTTGGCCAGGCGTTCGCAGAGGTAAAGAATATGGAAAAGGAAATCGATGCCATGCGGAAGGAGATCATGGGGAATGAACAGAGCATTAAGATGTTAACTGAGCGAAGAGATGGCTTACAGAAGGATCTGGATATGGCTCAAAAAGAAGTCGATAGGAAGCAGCACATTATTGATGATGCAATTAGAAGGAAAAACGAGACTGAGCAGGCGAAAATTGGCCTGGAGAATGAAATTGCTGGGCTCAACAGAGAAATGGATCAGCTGAAAGATGCCATTCACAAGTTGGAACTGTCATGCAGAGACTTAGAAGAGAAGAACAAACAATTGCTTTCTGAAGTTGAACGCTATGGAAGGATTGCTGACGAAGCCATTTCTGAGAGGGATAATATCAGGAAGGGATTTGACGAGGAGAAAGATAAAGTGAAGAACTTGATTTTGGAGGTTGCTGAAATGAAGAACAAAATTGAACATACTGCAACAGAGTTAGGAGAGATGAGAAGTGAGAGGGAAAAGCTGATTCAGAGGAATGAGATGATGGAAAGCCGTGTGAACACTTTAACGAAGGAGAAGGATGTACTGCAGGAGAGCCTTTTGGATGCTCAACGAAACACTGATGATTTAAGAGCTAAGATTGAATGTTCAAGCCAGACGCTGGCACTGTTGAGGAGAACTGCTGCGCTCGTGTGCCATTCTAAAGATGACGAGAATGTAGAAGAAGTGGTTTTGACTGAGAAGCTTGATGAAGAACTTGTGCCATATGCCGAAGAACTGGATGCAATAAAGAACGCGTTCAAGAACAAGAATAAGATTGTGGAAGACATGAAGCAACAACTTGTATCGCTTGAAAACTGTGCAGCTGAGGCACAGAAAAGGAAGGGCTTGTGGGCTTTGATCTCTTCTGTGACTACAATTTTCGCTGCGGCACTAGCCGCATACGCCGCGAGAGCACGCTGAATCATCTTCAATTTTCTGGGTTCTCACACAAGCCTCTCCGGTAACAGGTTCATGGTGCACTTGTTTGCTTATGAAGTAGTTGAGCTAATCTTTTATCTTCCAACCCTAGGAAAATAATCTTGTCAAACTCCAACCTGAGAAATATCATCAAATGAGCAACTTGCTATTCTCTGTTCACAATACTAGATTGTGCCCTCTTATTTGCCTCTGCTCGCTTTCAAACCCCGCAAATTCCAGTACGTTCACGCCTTGTCGATAAAGTCATCGAGAAAATTCACCCAGAAAAAAGGGAGCTAATAAAAACGAAAGAAAGCAAAGAGTATGCATTTAATTTCCTGATGATTGGGACATCATGATAAACCAGATATTTTGTGGATCCTTTGTTTCTGCATTTTAACTTCCCTTTGATCAGAGCAGCTATGAATTAAGATTCTTCAAGATCAGGGGAGGCTGGTTAGTGCATAACCATTCTTGAAAAATGATTTATTACGTCAAGTTTAATAGTAGTATTTATATCCCAATAATCTGAATTAGTATCATATTATCTAATCATGAATTGTGCAGGTTAAATTTTAACAGTTTAATTTTATATATTTATATTTATAATAATAATTTTATAAAATGTTATGCCAGAGTCGGTTTTTTGTTTTTTTTTTTATCTCAAAGCATCACATTATGAGAATAAAAGGAAGAGTGAGGTCGTCGGGTCCTTGTGAGGGTGTGGCCGTGCGGATAAGGGAGCATCTGTATTCTGCACAGTGGACATGCAGGATGCAGCAACGCCGCAGACGGGCTTCTGACTTTCAAAACGAGCCGTTATGATTTGCATCCGCATTCGGGACTCCAGAGTCATCACACAACGCCTTTTTTAGCTTTTTTTAATTATATGTATAAGAATTATTGTTAAAATTCATATATCATTTTTTTCAGGTGTGCTTAGTATCTTAAATAATTGTGATTAATCTAGTATACTGAAATATTTTTCTGTATGCCTTTAGTGTCTTTAAGAATTTTGTGATTATCCTGAAATAAGCATGTATAGTATTTTAAAATATTTAATAATGTAATATCACGGAATATTTTAGGATATTAGACATGAAAAATATTTTAAAATATTAAATAAACTACAAAGTATTTTAAGATAATAAATACAATTAAAAAAGACTTTAGGGTAATTTTAATACATGTAATCTCTTTTAGTATTAGTGAAAAAAAAGAGAGAGGAAGAGGAAAAAGAGCCAAAATAAAGCTAATGAGCATGGAATCCGAGCTGGATTACCATTTAAGAACCAAAACGCTAGAAATGGTGAAAATATCTGCGAGTGATTATATCAAATATTAAATTAATACTACTTCCAATTCTAAATATAAAAATCAGTTGATTAATCTGATAGATTAAAAAAATAAGTTAAATTGATTATTTATAATAAATAAGAGTTATTTTTCTTAAAATATCCTTACTAATCAAGTTTATTGACTAAAAATATTATTATTAGAAAAATTATCTTAAAAAAAAATGAATAAATATGAGACGACATGGATTGAGGTTTTATATTTAGAATCAAAATAAAAATCAAACGAGATCTTATATTAAAAGTAGGAGATAATATATTATAATATACTGAAATTTATTGGGAAAAAACCACTATTGGAATTTGGAAAGCTTACTCATAAGACGTCCAACCTCAGCACAAGGGATCAGATCAAAAACAAAATTTATGGTTTCTATACATCTTTTTACCATTCAAATTTCTCTACTTCTTGGTTTTTTTTTTTTTGCCAACTTTTACAATTCAAATTTCAAACATCTATGCTTCAATTATGGGTTATTTTTGTCAACTTAAAAATTTATTTTTATCATTGGACCACCTGTATCTTTTTCTTTACAATATTTCCATTTCAAAATCAAATTTCCCAACCTCCCTTTCAAATTTCCACTAATGTATATAAATGGAAAAATAGTTACATATAATAACAATTATTGTTATATTATATATTTTATATTATTTAAAATGTGCGCAAAATGAAGAATTTCCCTGCATTTGCTATATGAGAGTGCCAAGTATATCTATTTTTATTGCAGCATCTTCCTATTTATACTATTTCTATAGCGTAATAAATACATGCATACATGTTTCAACAAAAATAAAAGTAGTTTTTGAATACTTCCTTTTAACAGGAAGAACGTTCGTAATAAAAATTTAGCGTCTATTGTAACAAAGTTACTATATATTCTTAGAAATAATAATCATCTAGTCAACGTAAATGAAATTTCATGTATTTCCATAAACACATGTAGGGAAACGCAGAAAGAGTAGTTCCCCAAAGATCACATTATATTCGTAAGATTATGACGTGAATGACATCCCAAAATGGTCGGGTTTGCCACTAGCAGGGTGCGAGCATTGGAAGCTATAAGCCTCCACTTCTTCACAGGTATGCATCACCCACACACAGGACTTGGACTTGCACAGGAGTAGTATATCCCAATTATATTTGCAAGGACTGTTAAACGTCGAACAAGGGCAACCCATTGACTCAGGAGAACGTAGAATTAGCTATATACGGGAGAGGCATTCAACAAGCACTTATATGAAGATAGCATAGACGGGTAAACATACAGGACCATAATATCATTAAAACTTGCCCTATTGGTGTTCCAAAATTAGCAAATATATATATGTATATATATAACACATTAGGCAGGCGACAAGCCCCACTGGTTGGGCATCGAGGTCACGCCCAAGATAACTGTCTTCCTCCCCCTTTTTGGCTGGAAGTCAGATTGGTTAAATCATAATCCTAGTGGTTCCTTCCCATAAACTTGGTCGTAACTTTCACCTATCTACATCATCACCCAATTCCAGACGATGTGCACCGGAAAACATACAGCTATATGCTGGTTACACTGCCACTTAAGCCAATCCCAGACATTAAATACCAGAACCACAATTACGTACCACATCATAGGTGCAGCAGGGTTCTTAGAAACCACGATACACAAAAAAAGTAAGTAGTGTACCTACACTTACTGCTAAACTCCGTCTGTTATGTGTATTGGCAAAAGTCTAGCCTACGAACGGTCTGAGCTCACAAAATTTCTTATCTCATCCATGACCGTAGAGAAATGCTCATTATTTGGCAACAAGTAAAATCCAATTGTGGCCTGCTCCAGGAATAGCAACTTCACATCTTGCCCAGCTTTCTCAAGCCCTTTCGCGTAAGCCACCTGCCAGTCCTGAACAAGATCCAACCCAGCTACCACAACAAGGCTCTTTGGAAAGGCAATCCCTTCAAGATTTTTGCCCTTAGGACCAAATGGGTTACATGCCGGATGGTCTCTATCTTCCCCTTCCGGCAGAAAAGCTCTCCAATACCAGTCCCGATCTTTGATTGTAACAAAATATTTTCCATCTAGACGCTTTTCAGACTCAGATCTTTCTTTCCCACCAAACAATGGGTTGAGCAGTATGTTTCCCAATACTTCCATTCCAGATTCCACGGCTCTCATGGCAACATGGTGGACGATGTTCCCGCCGGAGCTATCCCCCACGAGGTATATGTGAACTTTCTGGTCCTTCCTACTCTGAAGCCATGATCTAGAACTAACCCATTTGAGAGCTGCCCACCCATCATCGTATGCACAAGGATACCTGTTTTCAGGTGCACGCCTATAGTTCACTGAGACAACAACAGCCTTGCAAATGCCCACCAGTCGGCGACATAGAGTATCATATATCGCGCTATTGGCAGAGGAATGGGCAAAGCTTCCACCGTGAAAGAATATGATGACAGGTAGAACCTCGGCTGTCACAGGCTTCTCAAGGTCAACAATATTCACACGAGTCTCTTCTCCTTCAGCAGGTCGATAAATTCGACTGAGGAGATTGGTTTCACGGTCAACAATAACATCAAAGGAGAAAACCCCATCGACAGTGTTGGCATTGGCTGGAACTTTCCGGTCAAGAAACTCCGCCAGGTGCCGGTTGAAAGTGCCATCAGGACGACGGAGGAGATTGTAGGCCAACTTAAAATTGGAGATGAGAACCCACATATTTAGCGGCACCACCATCTACAGGAAAACAGAATAGAAGATCACCTCAAGAAGAAAACTAGGGATAGCCACATTTTTGGGGGCAAAAAAAAAAAAAAACCTACTACGGCTGCTTTTAACAGGGTAATTTACAAACCCTAGAAACACCAGAAATCAGCAAAAGACGCTCCACGGTGTGGAAACGATAACACCAAAAATCGGAAAATAATGATGAAGACGAACCTTTAATTGAATAGATCAAGGGTAAAACCGTAGCGTCTATAATGGACCAAGGAGAAAAACGCTAAACATATTGATCTTCAAATTAATCCAATCAAAACCCTCCATAAGGTTTAGAACTATTACGCAATTAGACCACGCAACTTCTCCTCCTGAACCCCCTTGAACACGCACACACGGGCCGATGGATCCTCTCATCAATTCAACCATCAGAATCACAAGAACAAGGCACAAATGCAAGAGTGATATTTGTATGTAACACAAAAAAACTCCCTTATGAAATAATAAGAATCGAACCCCAACAGAGGAAAAAGCTCAAGTACCAAAATACCAAATTCCCACCGCAGGCGGTGTACAAGCTACCGATATTCCGTTATCAATCAAAATAATATATCAGGAGGCACCCCCTCCCTACCCCAGGGGAAGCCAGACTCTCTGCTAAACTTTCTGTCAACGGAAAAAAAGGCCTCAGACAGACGAAAAGCAACGAGAATCCGCATCGCCTAACCAACTGGAGATAGAGTTGGAAGAGCAAAAAGCGCAAACGGACGAAAGGAACAGGGACAGAATGGAAAGGAGAAAAAAGGTCACGGAGCATACCTTGGACTCGTTGAGGTTAACTTCATCACTCCGAGCCATGAGAAGACAGAGCGTCGAATCAGTGGCAACAGATCGCGGAAGAGATAACAGAAGTCACAGAGCTTCAGTTATTGGGAAAGGGAAGAAGCCCATCCAAAATCGCAATTTGGCAGCGTGTTTGGGAGTAAGATCCCAAGGCTTCATCAACCAATGGTATGGGAAGAGAAGAGAGCCAAATATGGTGGAGATCACTCAATAAGCTTGATTAATGTCAGAGATCAGAGGCATCGAAACAGAGGAGAGAGCGCCTGAGAGAGAGGACAAGCGAAGGATAAGAAGATGGGCGCACTGTAGAAAATGCGTCCAGACAAATGCTAAAGTGCAACATGAGTGACGGAGGGCCAGCGAGCGAGGCGACAAAGAGCGGCAGAAATAGAACTGTTGCGGGGACCCACGACCCCCCACCCAGACAAATTGATTTTAATTTTCCTTTTCCGTTTTGGTTGTTAATACTCCCTCCGTTTCTTATTATAAAAGACATTTGATGTTTATGACATGTTCTTATATATAAGAGACACTTAAAAGTTGTCTCTATTTTTTTGTGTTGATTTTCTATTTTACCCATATTTATTATCTCCAACTCACACTCTCTCCCCCTCTCACTTCTTTTTGTTTTAATAATTTAATTGTTCTCTCTCATGCTCTCTCTCCTTATTAATGAGGATATTTTTGGAAAAAAATTATACTTTTTGCACATTAATTGTTTTTAACTAATTTTAACTATTTTTTTTATCAACGTACTTGGATTTTTTATCTCTTATAATAAGAAACAGAGGAGTATTATTTTGTATTTGCTTCCAAAAACAAAAGGGAAGATTTGGGATGGGGGACTGCTCTTCGTATCCAACGGAACGGAGGCGACAGAATGCTTCCGTTGGTGCGTGCGGGCTGTGGCACGTGACAGCACCTCAGGCTCCCCCGCCCCTCCAAACGAACATCGCGTTTTTGGGAATTAATTAATAATTCCATATCCTCCCTTCCCTGTGCCTGTGGTATAAATTTTGTCCGTTAAATTTGATGTCATGAGTAACAACCATGAATGCTTCTTCTTTTGTGCATCTCCTCCCCGACATTCAAGTTGCAAATATCACATCCGATGTGTGCATTATTATATGCGACTGCTTCTGAGGAAATATTTTGATTTTATGTGTTTCTGGGGGAGCTAGGGATCATTTGCAAGCACTGTCCATTAAATAGAATATAAAGTGAAAAATAATGCTCTCCCCCAAGGACTGGGTGGGGGCAAAGAGAGGGAGGGGGGTGAGGTCGACAGACAAAGGACTGCAAACGGGGGCCCCCCATAATTATGGAACCCCACATCCCTATTTGGAAGGATTAGCGTGAGGTTAACATGTAGTCACCCCTTTTGTCTTTTCCTCATTGCCCTCCCCCCACCTTTCCTTCCCCATACCATTCCTTTTGACTCCTTATCTTTTTTTTTTCCCCCTTTTTTTATTAGTTCGCTCTTACGTTTAATTTAGAGTTAAAATGTATTTAGTATTTTAAAATATTTTTTTTATCTTGGTGTTGAATGTAAAAAAACATTTTATGATATTAGAAGTACTTAAAAAATATTTTAAAATGCTACATATATAAAAAATACTTTTTAATATTAATTATATTTAAAATATATATTTCAAATTACTGATTGTATCCGGAAAAATGTTTTGAAGTGCCAGTCAACCTCAACCCTTTAATTTAATTATTGGTGTGTTTTACTTATTTAATCGTTTTAAAACCAAGCCACTTTAATCATGTGTGTGATGTGAATCAGACTTCAAACCCCATTTTAATAAATGCAAGCCCAGCTTTTCATTTGTTCTCATTTATTATCTTTTACCACTCTTGTCTTCCCGCTGCCGCTCTCACCCCCGCTCAAGAACCAGTTAGATGAGCATCATAAGTTAATCAGATCTGAACCTTTCATATCTTATTTGGATGGTTCAGATTTGATTTTTTTTTATTTTTATTTATTCAAAATAATTATTTTAATATGTATAAAATCTAAAATAGTGATGATCTCTTAACTATCATTCTTTCAAAAAATAATTTATTCTATTTAAAAATAATTAATTAAAGATTTTAAATCTGAACCGTTTAAATAAGACATAAATGTTTCAGATCTGATGAGCTTACAGTGCTCGTCAAATGGATGAGCATCAAACCTGATTCCGCAAGAACCATCACTCCTCTTGTTCCGTGGATCATAGTTCACCACATCATCCCCTTCTTTTTTTAATCTCTTTTGTCATCTCTCTCCCCTGTGACTCTCTGTCTCATGCTATCCTAATCATAAAGCTTATTACTCGTACATATCACGACATTTTATTAAAGCTGAATATATCCATACATAATAGGGAAAATTATCACCGATGCTAAAAAAATTTAATTACCATAAAATCTATTCATAATTAAGGAGTAAATAATAACAAATTTCAGAATAAGAATAACAACAGATTCACGCTAATAACTTGTCATTAGAGTATCACTGCAAAACAAACATATTGAAACAAATAATAGCATTCTATGAGATGATGTTTAGATAAAAACAAAATCATAATTTTAAAAATATTTTTATAATATACAAAATAAATAAATAAAAGAGTTTGTTTTTATTTTTAAAAAAAATATCGATTATGTTGAACAGGTTCTGGAGTGGCGGACGAAATACTTTTCTGGCAGTATTATCTCCGTTAAATGTTGGCACTTGGCACCAATGCCATCAACGTCACGGTAACCATCATTATCAAAAGGCGTTGCCACTTGTTAGCCAACAACTCGCCAACTGGTCCGGAAAAAAAAAAAAAAAAAAAAAAAGCGCCAACGACTCGCCAGGACGCACAAACTTCTTTCCCATCTTTGAGCCATGGGGGCTCATTGTTGATGATGTTTGAATCCCCATCCACACTATTTCACTAAATTTTCAATATACATTAAAGTTAACTACTTCATAAATACTGATTAGCAGAAAGCTTAACTAATCAGTGTTGCATAATTAAACTCTGCTGCCTTCCAATTAAATTAATTCAGATGGATTTATTTATTTTCCATTAATCAATAAGGGTATTTACATTAAAAAAAAAGTATATCATCTAATAATATAAATATCATGGAATGCAACTCTTAATCATGGGTCACGAAAACTCTCCACCTAGTGAGAGATACAAAAGCAAGTCCCAGACTTTTTTTGGGAAAAAAAAATTATACAATGAAGGAAAAGATCCAGGACAAAAAAAAATCATTGAAGATGATATTTAAGTCATGATGAGGGCCGGTAGGCATAATTTGGATGGGGCTGAGGATTGATGCCAACCTGCCGCCAGACTTGTCGCCCGCCAAGCAAAAACTTTCATTATGGCCTACTGACCCAACCCATTGAAACCCAACAGAGGGTGAAGCCGGCATGCTGGCCTGTCCTGAGTATTTCTTTTTGTTTTTTCTAAACAAATTTCGAGGAACGGGATGGGCAACAATAAGGTGTGATACGAACCATGGGATGAAGACGCCATCGTCAGCTTCGCCGGTGGACAAATTTGAAGACCAAGAGTCCAAGACAGAAGACGGAAGCTTCAGAGGATCCAGGGAGAATGGACATGGCGGACGACGGACAATGAACTTGGATACTGGACAAACAAGGCTGTCGGGAGTACTAGTTTATATATTGGGGATTTGGGGGATTATCCCCACTCCAAACGGGAAAAAAAAAAAATCAGAGGATGGTCCTGGAAGGTTTGCGCAACGAATCACCTTTTTGTTCATTTAGCTTATTCTTGTTAACAAGTAAATGTGCATTTCTCTCCCATTCAGCATGCCCCCTTGCTCTCAATGTTTTTACCCGAACTTCAGTTTTTGCTGTCTACTCAACTTAGTTCCCCTGCCCTGATTATGATACATAGCTCCAAATTAGAATGTGGTACAATGGCTGCACTCTGGGTTTGGCAAAGGAAGCAAATATGAGTGATCATGGGAATTTTTAAGTAATCTCTTCACACACACACACACACACACGTGTGTGTGTGTATATATATATATATATGTCTTTTCTTTTCGAAGAGCAAGCCCAGGATCCTGCTCCACCAGTGCATTGCTTTTGCTTTCTGCATATCTTCTTTGTTTTGTTCCGTTTCTCATCACAGTCTTCTCTTTCAAAACTCACCATCTATTGTAAAAGAGTGCGGCATCATAGAAAGATGCCACTTGTTCACTGATATGGACAGGAATATATAGCACAAGAACCTTTACCTTCCAATTCCACCATGCGATGCTCTATTCTTCACTGTTTCTATGGTTGCCTGCTTTTAGAATGACTTGATCAATAAACGAACCTTTTAATATTAAATCACAGCCAAGTCCCAGATATGTTAAGAGTGTAATGTGAACAAGGAGAATTCCAAATCAGAAGAGGGAACATTTAAGAAGTGCAAGAATGGTAAAATATGCTGCGACTACTGATGCATGTTGCAGATTTGCACAGCGTTTTAAATCGAACGTTTAAAGCAAGAAGAAGGGGGTGCAGATATCTAAAATCTGTATCGATCCTGGGTATTTGAGTTAGAATCTGTATGAACGTATTTAATATAAAATCTCGTTTTATTTTTATTTTAGTTTTAAATATAAAATCTCAATTTATTTTGTCTTTAATATTTTTTTTCTTCAAGACAGTCTTTCTAATAACACTAATTCTAGTTAATAAATTTGATTAGTAAATATATTTTAAGAAAAACAATATTTATTTATTATAAATAACTAATTTAATTTATTTTTTTAATCTATTTAAATTAATCAACTAGTTTTTATATTTAAGACCAGAAGTAGTTCATGCACAAGGATAGGATGTTCTAACAAAAACCTATATAGGATATACGAAGACAGCCAGAGCCGAGCATATATCAAACTTGAAAAGGACCACCGGACATTAATTTTGGGGGTGTTTGGTTGAGTCAGTAAGTGTTTTTTTAAGAAATGATTTCACCACAAAGAACCAAGAAAAAACGTCTTAATATTCACGTAGGTTTATCGTGTTTACGGCGGAAATCCTGCTCCCCTGTACAAATGATTAGCTTCTCCCTGATTTGGCTACTTCTAGGTTTCCCGAAGCCAAGAGGAAATTTTGTGTGTTTACCCAGCCTACCTAATGAATAATGATGGATAAAACCCTCAGTTGGGAATAAAAACAAAACGATGATGAGGAAAAGTGATGGAGAAGATTCTCAGGCGTGAGTACATGACATCTAAAAATAGAAGACAGTTGGTGATAATTTGTCGGGGTTTTTTTTTTAAAAAAGATGAAAAGAGTAACAACTAACAATTAAGGGAAATGCTGAGTGATTTTTTTGACCTTGAAGGAAATGTTGTCGATGCTCTTCATAATGTATAGAAGCTACTTATTATCTACAAATAGTAATGAACATCATTTATTGTTTGGGCTTCTTTATAAAATTATATCCGCGTACTTATTATCACTATACAAATCATTCACAAATGCTATCTCCGGTCCTAATTATAAAAGCTAATTGACTAATTTGAGGAGATTAAGAAAAGAAGTTAAGTTAGTTATTTGTCATAAATATGTGTTGTCTTTCCTAAAATATCCTTGCTAGTTAAGTGTATTAGTTACATTTATCATTGTTAGAAGAACTATCTTGAAAAAAATGTATAAATATTAGAGACAAAGTGGATTGGAGTCATATATTTAGAATCAAAATAAAAATCAGACAAGTCGTATATTTCTATAGGAAACATAGCTATAAATATATTTTTGGGGTAGTTTATTGAAGACTAAAAAATGTAACTTCGGTTAAACTCAATATGACTGAGTTGAAAGAATTTGCTAAAAAATGGTCTTTAACTAAGTTTGATAAACCAATCCGATAATACATCAATATTAATTATAAAGAGACTCTAATTTTTTTTTTAATAAGATCAAAAATTCAAACTTCCTAAATTAAAAAAAACAAAGCGTGAGAGTTTAGGCCAAATATATGGTAAAAGATTATTTATCATGATTAGAAAATACCACCGTAAATATATAATTATAATTACTACCTTGAATTTAATGAATTTTTTGCCAACTTGAGTTTAATAAAGTTAAGAAATGTTAGTCTGCACTCTGCACTCACTAATTATAAGGAAAATTCCAAAAAGCAACACTACCGTAAATAAGTGTTAAAATTATTATTGCATACTATTTAGCTGTTATTAGTTTTTTTTTTTTTTTTAACTTCACTGTAATTTTTCCCTAAATGTATGTGCAACTTCAAGTGTTAAAAATTTTTCCCGCTGGCCCTACCCTGCAACCCGCGTGTGAAGTAAATAATCGCGCTGATCTGCTGGTCCTGGTGCATAAATTTCATTTCCTTTACCTGCTTTGGATTCTTGGAAATTGATTGAATCATGGGTGTTGCCATTTGAAAACTATCTGGAGCTCGAAATCGCGCAGTCATTTCAGGCATCGGAGGAGTCTGCGATGGAGGTAGAGTGGATTTTGCTATGCCATGGGATGGTGACTCTGGCACTGGTGGTCTCCTTACTCTGCGGTCAATGGCCCATCTTCCAGGGCACCATCGTCGAACGGCTACACTACTTCCTTACGTTCGGCGCCTACGATTACTTCCTGTACGCTCTTCTTCCCACAAATCCTCTCTACTTCATCCTTTCTTTTACTGTATGCACCGCAATTCCCGTTTCATTTCAGGCGTTTCGTTCGGGCAGTTTTTTGCTCTAAGTGTACGGATGCGATTCTTTCTGTGGAATATTACTGCTGCAATCGGCCCAATCCAATCCTGCAGGTTTCCTCAATCAATATAAGTATTTGCTATGCATTTGTATGATGTAAAATAAGGAATGATTCAGTTCTTAATAGTTGCTCTATATGAAAGTTGGAAAGGGGACTAACCCACTGATTACACCAGAGTTTTAGTTTTAGGTGCTTCGTAACTGTATTCATTAAGCTTTTAGCGAGGCTGCTACTTCGCTCAGAGAACCTTTTTCTGATCTTTGTTAGTTATCTAAACATATTTCTTTTAATTGCAGATCCTATATCTTGTGATAATCAGCATAACATATTATTTAATCGTAAAGTTTTCCTTTCCCTATATTCCTAGCTACTATTTAAGTGGAATTCACAGGTATTGTGTGACATAGCTGATATATTTACCCTTTTGCTGCTCTGATTTTCATAGCACCATTTTGTCATGAATTTTGCTAGATGATATATGCCCTTTTAGGTACGCAAGCTTGCTGGCAGTTGCGGTTGGAGTTCTGCTCTTTCTATTGACCAGCTTTTCTGATCCAGGAATAATAAACGTTGGCAATGTTTCTCAGCATCTTTCTTCCTACCCATATGATAATATGATTTATTCAGAGAAAGAGTGTCCAACGTGCAAAATTCCAAAGTGAGTTCGTCACTAGTGTAAAATTTTCGTCAAATGTTCCATTTCAGTTTATTTGTAAACTTGTCTTAAATCTTCATGCAGACCTGCTAGGTCCAAGCACTGCAGCATTTGTGACCGTTGTGTGGCACGCTTTGACCATCACTGTGGATGGATGGTTCATAATCTAACAGTGCTCTCCCTTTTATATGATTGTTATGTGGTTTTGATTTAAAATCATTACCCATTTTTCTTTGGGTTGCGCTTATGAGAATAATTTTCCTTTCAGAACAATTGCATTGGGGAGAGAAATACTCGGTATTTCATGGCTTTTCTTTTCTGGTGAGTGCTACTGTGGTGTGGTTAACGGTGCTTACCCCTATATGCGTGTGATACTATGTGCTTCAACTAGCTTTGCTGCTTAACCTGTGTATTGATTGATCTGTGTTTTGATCTTCCTATCTATGTATATACTTTGATACTAGTTGAAGACATCAAAAGTTTTTGGGAAAAAAACAAAATCCTTGAAATAATATTTGCAAATGAAAAAAGTATATTCTACGTATAAAAAGTGTTCTAAAATATTCCTACTAAAGGTAGGATATCACTCCTACCATGCTTATCCCAAAACCACCTAAAACCGCATAGTGGAATACCTGTAAATAGTGATCAAGTGTAATAGAAATTTGCAGAAGAATTATACATAATTGTTATTGACCTCCCATGAATTCTTTACATCCCATATGTGACCTTCTTTTCCACAGGAAACGTAAGACAAATTGATTTAAGAAGACCATGCTAAATCGCCAAGGAATGTCATTTATGGTGATTATTGAACTACGGTTCCCCCCCCCCCTCCCCAAAAAAAAAATTGTGATTCAACTGTAGGGTATGGAGTAGCAAGCGAGAGAAATCCTCCAAAACCAATCTTTTCTTTCAACATAAGCTTTTTGTTTGACATTCAATATTTATGTCAATTCCTCACTGTTTCTGGTCTAAAGTACTATACCGGAAAATACATGCTTGTTTCAAAATGTCCTAACCCCAAGCCTTCCCATATACTGATTTTGATGATGACTTTACATCTCCACCATGAAAGAAAACGTACTAATTGAAATATCTAAGCTCATTTTTTAATATGTAAGATAGGAAAGAATTAGGAAAGAGAAGGAAATGAGAGAGAGAGAGAGAGAAGAAGGAGACGAGAGACTTGGCTGGGATATACTGCGGTAGCCTGGCATGCTTATAATTATTATGTCTAACCATAAAAAGATATTGAACTCCCATGTTAGAGTTTGTAGGAAAAACACTTGCACGCAAGATGATTTATTTCTGGGGCACTTCTCATTCAGTCGCTTGGTTGATTATTGTTTCACATTCGGTGTGCAATAAGTCATTCCTTTTCTTTCTCCTGTTCAGTCTTATTACGTGATTCTTTAATTATCTTGCAGGCATTTCCTACTATGCCTGTATGGAACAGTTGCCATTGGTCTGATTGTTGCGGGGAAACTACAAGAACTGAGAATTGTACATATTCTAACAGGTAATATTGAAGCAGTTGTAAGATTTTTCTAAGTTGATTTTTATACTAATGCTGAGAACTCTCTCCTTACCACGATGGTCTAGTTTATTATGGAGTGGAGAAATCTTTTCTGGGTTTAGCTCCTCATATTGCACAGGTGAGGGATTTGTTCTTCTATCCTTTATTTCATGCTTCCTACTGTTTCTACTTGCTAGAGTGGGGATTTCCGCCTTATCATGATCTTGTATTCTAATGCTCTCTCTGTTTTCATGATGAAGTGGTTGCTGGGATCCTACGACACTCAAATACTTATTATGGTGTTCCTCTCTATCGTCGGAATGCTACTGTTTGGTTTTTTTGGTTACCATGCAAAGCTCTGCCTCAGCAACACTACCACTAACGAGGTCCTTTCTCTGATCTTGCAATAATTGGTACATGTATTTATTTGTTTCACATTGTCATGATCTCTTTTTGCCAACACACTTACTGTTGCCTTGGTTTTTTTTCCTCTTCATGACCAGGTGCATTAAATTATTTCTTAGAACTCGTATTTTTTTCTCTCACATCTACAAGGCACTCACGTTCAAATATTTTTCTATAAAGATATTTCTTTATTTTTTTGGTTCATAGGTTGAATGACACTCAGCTTCCTTTTATGCTCACAATGAAGCTTAAATTAAATTAAATTACTGGTTCATTGTGTTGGATTCCAGACCTTTAAATGGCAAGAGTGCATTAGTCGGCAGAGGAAGCTAAATGAAGCAGATTCCTGTGATGCATTCCCAAGAGCAAGTACGAGTGGTACGAGCAAATGGGAAGCCTTTTTCCGAAGATCATCTCCTGATGAAGTGGATGTTCCGAAGAATAATATTTATGACAGAGGATTCATTCACAATGTGCAGGAAGTTATTTTCCCCCATTCTACAAGACGGTCATTTATTGGAACTAAATCCAAGCCTGGCTAAGACGTAATCGATCTTAACATGCGTCTTGTGACACATTAAATTATTAAAATTCTTATTCGCTTGTAGTTATAGATTTATAATTGTCCCGAAGGTTGTAGTATTTATGTATGAGTAATAAATTCTTGGTAAAATTTTGTAATGTTAAATTAGTAAAAGCATAACTTACAGTAGCCGTATGACATCTCAACTGTCATTAATATTTAGCCCATTTTGATTTGATTATTTGTCAGTATATCCTTTATCCATTTTTTGCCCTTTTAAATCTTTTAATGAGCTACAAATTTTCTTCTTGCAAAATTGAGCTGCTTAGTATTAGCATTTTTGTCCCAACCTAATTTTTAATAGAAGAAAATAAGCACAATATGAACGTTGTATCAAAGAGCCATTCCCCCTATTATTTTCTGTTGCCTTCCAATTTCAGTCATTCTTTTTAAAAAAAAAAAAAAATCTAATTTTAGTCCTCCCATGACCCATAACGTGAAATTTATTTTTTTAAAAACCTTCATTAATCATGAATAATACATTTTATTGTTTAAACAAGAACGTAAATTTGTGTATAATGCCACCTTCAATATACTTTATATCATATATATCATCAGATACATATACAAACATGTTTAATTTTATATTTATTATATTAATAATAATTCTGAATTATTTTATCATTTTCGATCGTGTTCCGAAAAAACAAACCACAGGAACCGGAAATATTTTACTACGAAATATCAAACTTACATTTACAATTCAAATTTCTATTTTAATTAAAAAAATAAACAAATATCATTTACAAACATTAAAAAAAGAAATCCTTTTTGTTGCACGGGTTGATGTCAAAGGTGAACTCTATTGACTAGTGGGTGGATGAGAGAGACGTGGCTTGATGGGCTGGATGTCCCTGCTTCTCACGAAAGTCAAAAATTGTTGTGGCAGTTCTTCCAGAAGAGCTTGTACAACCGAGATCTCTCCCCCTGAACAAAATATTAAACAATGAAACGTTCCCCACTCTCTGCTGGAAATGAGATCACCTCATATTACGAGTTTGGACTTTTTAATTTATTCTTTATTTTTATTAATTTAAAGAAAAATAAACACAAAATACCAAAAAGAAAAATGAATTTCAATTTACTATGATGGCACATTATATATATCCCCGACACAATAATAGGGGGAAAATAATTCAAGAAAATTGCTACTTGGTACTCACTGTGCACTTCTCGCATTGGAACAAACTGCACTATATCCCTTGTAGCAATACGACCGGAAGAACTTTCTAACCTACGTCCATTATCAGCATCCAAAACCTGCCAAGGAATGCACTTCTTAGTTGAGTCAACTTTTTATTACGAAAATTAATGATAGCAATAATAGAAGGAATTCCCTGTGAATGACTACAGGATTTTTTTTTTTGGGGGGGGGAGGGGGGAAAGGACTGAAACTAGTCTTGCCTCCATGCTCGTGAAATCAGCTGCTCCAACTCCAACTATGAGAACCGACAACGGCAGGTCAGAAGCTTTGACCAGAGCATTGACTGTCTCTTGAAGGTCTGTAACAACACCATCCTAAGGAAAGGATAACATCTCGTTGGGTTATTCATTCCGTCTAACAGGTACATGCAGAACAAAACAACGTGCCCAAGATCTTGAGTTCTCACCGTGATGATAAGCAATACATAGTACTTGGAGCTATTATGCGAAAGGGAATGAGCAGCTATTTGCGCAGCCATGTTTATAACGGGGCCAAATAGAGTGGGTCCTGCTAGATTGACATTGTGTAAAGCTCTTGAATAAGCGGCCATTATGCCTTCAACTTCTTCAACCTAAAGAAATGGGAACCAAATCCTGATAAAAGAGCGGTGTACAATAGAAGGATCGGAATGCAAATTTCAAAGCAGATATTATGGAAGTAGAATATTCCTGCATATAATAGCGACCGCAAATATGGTAACAAAGGCAGAACCATCAAAGTGTTGGAAATTGTCTACGCCGTATTTTAAACTATATAATTTGTATTGCTGCATTTTCAATCATCTCCAAAATAGAGGAGCATCATAACTTACGATTTTCTAGAATACTTGTGGAGAATAATGAAGAAACGTCTTACCTCAGAGGCACCTGAATTGCCATCCAAGTTAAAACAGTGGGAAATGGTGCCATCACATGTCCTTCCTCCAAAGCCCCAAGCAGGGAAGCGTCGATTGGAATCGTAGAACTGAATAACCTCCCCAACCTCCATTATAGCCTACAAAAGTTACTCCATTAATTAGAGAAGTTACTGGTCATCAGGTTATGTTCCTCTATTCTTCTTAATGCTGAGTCTTATCGCCCAAAAAACAAGTTCACTGTGTTAATCTTCACATGAATTACCCATAATAATATGCAAATGATACCAAGTAGAAAGTTTTTTTTTTTTTTATTGTATTTTGCCAGTGAATTATTTGAAAGCTAAGACTAAACAAATGAACAATAAGATTTGTTGCTTACTTTCTGGTATGCATTAAACTGGCTAGGTGAACTTATGTAGTGCAAGGAATCTGGACGTCGAGGATCTCCATTTGAAGCTGGACAAATTTTGAAGCACTCAGGGAAGTTCGATTTTAAGATTGAATTGAACGGTGATCATCCTTCAAAGCAGCAAATTTTACCTACCCGTGAAATCTACTGCAACCATAAAATTCATTTCAAATCCAGAAGATATGTAATCAATAAAGCTGAACTGCTCCTTTTCGAAATATTTATCCACATACAGCTGCCCCTCCAGAACCTATATAGAGAAAAGTAAATAAGCATTAATTAGAAGTGTTAGGCTAAGCAGATGAGTAACAATAAGAAATATTTTTGTTGCTAGCGTTAACAAGCACCTTCTCGTATGTCCTGTGTTTAGATGGTGCAACAAAATTTTCACCGGTTCTCTCTTTATAGAGCTTTTCAAGGTCTGCAACCGACTTCTGCATTTTACTGGTCATGAAATTTTTTACTATTAATACCTAATACCTATTTCATCAGGAATCTAGAGAATGATAACCAACAGAAGCGAAGGAGAAAAAAGTATTATCGTAAGGAAATCAATCATTCAATAGGTTTAGTTACCCGATAAGTACATGATCGCCACTGCTATTGAAATCAAAACACTCGATAAGTAACGGGTTATCCTACGCACAGAACATAGACCAAAAGCAAAATAAATATCTCGGAACTCCCACTATAAGTAATGTAAAATATGTGGTAATGGTAAAACATCATTTATCATCAAATTTCAGGCCATAATTAAAACGACAAACTTACTTTACTTCCAAACTGCTGAAGCCCAAGGCAAACTGGTTTCCATATTGGATTTAAATCGTTGTTGATGACTTCAGTTTTGCAAATTGGAATAGAGCCTCCGCCCTCATCAAGTTTTGATATTCTTAAGAAAGGATCCTGTAAGGAAAATTGAGATGAAAAATCTTAAATAGCAAAAGCAGAAGCACGTTAAACTAGATGGTAAAACATAAATAAGAGGGACAGGAATTTACATACACTTTTAGAAAAGATGTCTTTGTTATCCAAGCGAGAACAACGGAATGAGATCTCAACACAAGTCCTTGAATTAAAAGTCTCCTCAGCATGAATAGTAAGTGTCCCAAGGTTTCTTCTACCGTCATGCCCGCTTTTGTTTTGGAGCCTCAGGGTTAAGCTACGGCTTTGTTTAGTCACTATCTGCCAAAGAGAGAAGAAAGGAGACTTTAATATGGCTATACTGCCGAAAAAGAAACGTCTCGATCCTATGCCAGAGAACTTACCTCAGATAAAGCGCAACTTGCCATGCCAAGAAAATCTTGATCCTTTAAATTTAGTGTCTGCAAGGGGAAAAAAAAACCCAATGTTCTATAGGTTTTGAAGTTTAATTTATGCACTAACTATGATCGGATTTAATTCAGAGGATAAAATGCAATTTGTCCAACAACTAGTTATTAGTTAATCATTGGAAGTGAATAAAACATATTCACCCGATAAGACCATTGAACACGGTAATTTAAGCAATTCAAAAGTACACAAGGAAGGCATGAAGGTACATCAATGCATTGAAGGCTAAATTGTAAACTACGGCCCATTGGCAACATGGCACTAAGTAAACAAAAACGTTCTTTCTGGTCGATTTCATCTCTTTGAAAGTGGATACAATATTAGCTACGTACCTGTTAAACCGTAAGTAATGTATGATATAGAGATTATGCGATTTCAGTATGTACTTATGTAGTAGCTAAGAACTTCTAATGTGAATGTATCATACACCCGACAGCTTAAGACTTTCCTTCCTGATCGGACCTACGAGTTATAAGGCTTACAACTTACGTTTATTTAATTGAAATCACTGTAAAATCCTGGTTGGACAGCAATATATCAGAGAAAGAACCCGTGCTTCAGTTATATAAAAGGATTGTGAAAAAGAAGTTTTACTGCAAACCTTAGTGGGGACGTTATGGTACTTGGTATCAATGTCATACACATGAAACCTGCAGGCAAAATAGAGAAAATCATATTAAAAAGGAGGTTCACCACAAGCATTTAGTGAACACACGCTATATATCTACATACTGGCAAGGAAACACCAAGGATATAGCTTACACTAGTGATTGCACAATCTCGAACTGAAACGCAACACTGATTTTCTCGATCCACTTAGGATTCAAAGAGTTCATTATGACTTCCGTGCGACCCAATTCTTCAAGTTTTCCATCTTGTTTCTTTAAAGACGCCACTACCATGGGATCACTCTAAAAAGAAATAAACAAATTAGTGAAACAATAAATGTTCGATGATATTTACTAAAATTATATGCACCTTTTTTAAAATAAGAAATAGAGAGACTGTATTTTTATGTGTTGTTGATCATAGCAATAATAAAGTACTCCTCCGGTTCTTAATATAGAATCTAATTGTTAACTTAGTTTTAGTCCTAAATATAAAACCTATTTCTTATATTTATTAATTTTTCTTAAATTGTCCTTATAGATACTCCCTCAACCATAATCAAGTAAGTGAAGAGAAGAAGATATTAAGAAAGATGATTATAGTGTTTTAGAATAAACATATCATATTTGTTAGAACTAATTAACTTATCTTCCTTAATGTAATCAAATTAATTAAATAGGTCTTATATTAAGGGCTGGAAGAGTATATATCTTAAAAATGAAAAAATATACATGATTTCGATAAAGTTTTATGAAAATCTGAGTAACTTATTTTGTATTCCAGATAGACTGTGTTAAGATAGGCCTAATCGACAAGAACAAGCAAGTGACATGCGATCCAATATCCTTTCATGCACACAGCACATGCAACCTTGAGAGCAATACCTTTGATGCAAAGTCCCGGTCACGTAAGTCGTTTGCGGATAGAGATAGCTGTAACACAAGGTTGGAAAACCATTAATACTCGCCCAGCTCTACAAAGTTACAAGGCAAACAAGTGCACATATTTGGCTTCTTCTTTTTTTCGTTTTTTTTGGGGGGGGGGGGTTTCTACTCGTAAATCTGAGAAAACATTATTTAAGTAACGGGGTAAGAAGTTGAAAATTTTGGCAAATTAGATCTTAAAACAAACAGTGTGAGAAAAATCAAGCACTTTCTTTACGAGATGGTGTATAAGTTCAAAGGGAATACTCTCTAATTATTTGCTTCAGTTGTTTACTATTAATCGAATAAGTAATTAAGTATAATGAATAATATATATTTTGATCTTTGTGAAGAAAAATTTCCTCTCCATGAACATCAGACGGAGATCAATTTTAAGAATCTAATTGTATATGGTGTGAATGGCAGATATTTCCAGCCATGGTAATTCGAATTGGATCGCAAGTTCCGAGTTCTGAGTTCCGCCTAGTGAATGACTTGTCTTGTGAGGGAATAGGAGTTGGCTGGCACAGGAACTTTTGATTCCAAGTAGAAGATGCTAGCGTGTTTCGGCACGTTGTGATTTCCGCCGTACAATACCGCATATAATATTAGGCCCCTTGATAATGACACGACAATAAGTTGGATTTGGCAGGAAGAACATAACGACACAAAGAGGATTGTCGACGGAAAAGCAAATAATCCAAAGGAAAGATAGGCAAGGGGAGAGAATCATGAAAGCGAAATTAAAGATACCTCGATTTGAGTGAAGAGAGGTTGAAATCCACGAGACCTGTAAAAGAAATCGACGGCGTCGTTGTGGGCGGGAGGAGGCGTGGGGCCTGGGGCAGGGGGATGGCGGACCCCTCCCACTGCTTCCTTCCCTCCCTTCAAATCCGAGACGCAGCTTCCCATTCGATTTTGCTTTCCTCCTTAAACCCTAACAGAAACATATATTCTCTCCATCCGATCCCCTTGATCTTATATAATTCCAAAAGGCGGTTGGTAGAGAAGTATGAAGAAAATGAGAGGTAACCTCGAAGCAGGAGGCGGGGTTTTACTAATTCCTTTCGGCCCGCCACTACTAATGACTTGAGCAGAAAGAGAGATAAGGAGAGATGAGAAGTATTTAAATCGAATCAAAACCATAATTACAGAAGTAATTTCACAATTTATAAAATAAATATTTGAAGAAGTTTATCTCAATTTGTCAAAAACTATTTTTAAAAAGCATTTATAACTCATCCAAATACCCCATAATCTCTTTTTCTCCTTTTCTTTTCATAATCTTATGTTTACCTTTCGATCATTCATTCAAATTTTACATGAGTATTTTATAAAATTATTATTATAACATTACGTAAATAAGGAAAAAAATGATATCTGCTTTTTAATGAAGACCTTTTTCCTTTTATAAAGTGAAGGAAAATCATCGGTAACTATACTTTTTTTTAATTTTTAATTTAATATTTATATATATTTTTAAATTAAATTATTTAATTTTATATTTTTAATTGAATTTTAATTTTTAATTTTTTTTGTAATATTAATTTTTATAACTTTGTTTTATTGACATTTTTAATCTCTATATGCATGTTAAAAATATTGAGAAAGTAAAATTAAGGATTTAATTAAGAAAAAAAAACGTAAGTACTAAACTGAAAATTGAAAAAAATATAGGCATCTTTAATATGATTTTTTCTTAAAGTTGTTGTTTCTTCTGATTATTTATCATTATTGTTGTTGTTGTTTAAATGTATAGTTTCCTCCTCTATCTCTTTTAAGATATGATTAGTCGTGAAATTTGTGGAACGTCAAAACAGGGGAAACGAGGTTGGTATGCTGTGGTCGGCACGCCATTTACTTTTATTATTCCATTTCTATTTTATAGTAATAAATCGCAATTAAAACTTCCGGCTTTAGGATCTGTACCGTAAGGAAAAGCCCTTTCTTCTTCAGGCTGCTGAGAATAGCCCATTGACTAACTAACTATATATTATAAAAATACCGTAACGGTAGTATTAGGTTAATATAATTTTTATTCTTTAAGTTTACTTTTATTTTATTTTTGATCCTTTAAGTTTTAAACAGTAAGTTTTTTTTCTTTAAATTTTTTTATTTAAAATAATAGTTCTTATAATTTAATAAAATCAGGACCATTGTACATTTTGAGAGACTCAAATATCTGGTTTATAATTTGATGGGCCAAAGTTAAAATAAGGACAATCTTAAAGGATAAAAATTATATCAATTTTTTGATATTTTTATTCCTTCAGGATGGTTTGAATTACAATCCCGCATTCAACGCGCGCGTTTATGCGAAAATTTCAAATGCTCATCCACATCCGCATTACTATACGTGATCGTAATTACGGGTGTATTTGGGTGACACCCCAAACCATGGTTTGGGGTGTCAATCACTCAAACACCCCCTCTAAAAACCAAAACCATGGTTTTGGAAAAAGCAAAATTTTTTTGCTTTTGAAGAAAAAAGGGAGAGTGTGAGAGCCTATATGATATGTATCTTGTTATTTTTTTTATAAACATATTTTTTGATAAACATATTTAATCTTATATTTTATAAATATATATACACATTAATTATTTATTAATTATATTATCTTATGTATTATTAATTATGTTGGTAAAAAATATATTATTAACAATTTTATTCCTTCAAATTAAAATATATCATAAAATCTATTTTTTCTGTAATTATCATATTAACTTATGTCTTTTTTTAGTAATTTGTATATATAAAAAGTGCTTCTGATAACAACTATCCAAACACTCTCACTTCTCAGAATCACTTTTTTACAAAATCTATTCTTCACAGAATCTATTCTCCCCAGAATCTATTCTTCAGAATCACTTTTCCAAACCACGGTTTGGTTTCATCCAAACACACCCTACGTCTCTGATAAAAAAATCTTCATTTTTCTGTGAGAAAACGAACTTTAGTGATTTCGAACGATTGCTTATGAAGAATGATAATGGAAGTAGGTAGGAACTTGGGAATAATATTAGGGAGTGCTTGAACTAGCTTTTTAAAAATGATTTTATGCTGCGAGAAATAGTATTTGAGAATGAACATGCCTTTTTCAAAGCGATTGATGTATTCTCAATGGCGCTGAAGGGGGTGTTTGGCTCTCCTCCCAAATCATGGTTTGGAAAAAAATTTGCCAAACACCCCTCAAAAAACTGAAACCATGGTTTTGAGGGAAACCATGGTTTTGTCCCTCAAAACCTTGGTTTCGGATAATGAGACGGAGGGCTGCTTCTGCTTGCTTCAAATAATTGATTGTTGGTGGGCCCAGGAATCTGATCGTCAATCAGGGGAGGGGAGTGACCGAGTCTGTGAGGGTGAGGTTAAATAATATATTTTACAAAAAAACATATTTACTTATTTTGTTAATATATATATACGTTTTAATTTTAATTATTTTATTAATATATATTATTTATTAATATATATACATATTTAATTTTTATTAAATCATTTTGCAAAAAAACATATTTATTTATTTTATTAATATATATATATGTATTAATTTTTGTATTAATATTATTTATTTACTTCAAATAAACATATATTATGAAATATATCTTATATGTAATTATCATTTAAACTTATGTCCTTTTTAGTAATTTTCACATATAAAAAAACACTTCTGACAACAACTATCCAAATACTCCCACTTTATCAGAATCACTTTTTCAAAAAAGCTATTCTTTCAAAATCTATTCTCTCCAGAATCTATTCTCCAGAAGCTATTCTGCAAATCATGGTTTGGCTTCATCCAAACACTCCCGAAATGATAAGCTAGTACGAGGAATGGGCTCAGCCGCTTAGCGTTAGTTGTTAGAAGAAAACGACCCGTGAATCATGATAATGACCTTGAGTCGTCCTTTAAAATTGCTCGCCCATCTATCAGTTACTTTATACGGGTAATTTCGTAATTCCGAGTCTCTGACTCGGCTTCGCTAGCTTTATAAAAACCCATGCAAACGTGAATTTATTGGTCTGACTTTGAACCATTTTTTTTTTCATGTACAAAGACTGAAGTTTATTGGTAATGTTTTCTCGTGATATGTTTTGCTGCACCAAATGCGAGTAAATCATTGATGGGGGTCATTGTAAAATAGACTCATCATGGCGGTTATGCAGCATAGAATGGCAAATTATTACTCCCTTAATTATATAATATGCAGGACAGCAAACGCGGATTAAGCAGTGCTATTATTTATCCGATAGAAAATTTAGACTATTTAATTTTAAAGTAAATATTATTTTTAATCCTCAACATTTGATCTCATTTTTTATTTCACTCCTTAAAATTTGAAACTAATGTAGTTCTTGTTTATAAAATTTGACCTTATTTTGATTGACCTAAAAAATTTTTGTCTTAAAATAAGATTCTAACAATCAAAACTACTGTTTTCAAATTTTAAGAATCAAAATAAAAATGAAGTTAGATTTCAACAATTAAAAATAATATTGACCTTTAATTTTAATCGGTCAATTATAAATTGATTGATGGAAGCACGACATAAAAAATTAAAAATATTTTTTTCCAACCAACCATTTACTGTTATTTATTTTTTTTCGAAGAATTCCTCACCCTGACTGTGATCGCTGGTCAAAAGGTTTTTCGGGTCAAACGACTAGCGAAGCCATGAAAAACTCGCAAACTTGCAATGAAACGCACCAGGTGAGCCTCATTTGGACCGGTTCCAACTTCCAAGATGTCCGTCTCCGTCTATACTCAAAAACAGAAAAAAGAAACCAAAAACAAATTGAAAAAGAAAACATAAAATTCAGTGCTTTGCAAAATTTCTTAAAATTAAAATATTTATATAGAAATATTTCTAGTTTTAAAAAAATAAATAATTTAGCATTGCTCAAACTTTTAAAATAATTTTTTTCATTGCTTTCTTTTTCTTATTAATTATAAATTTTCCAAAATTTCAAATATCAAAATTTATGTCACAGATTGCGGGTTGCATGATGCAGTATGAGTGACGTGAATTGAGAATCACATTGAGCTCATTTTTTTGTTGTTTTTAGGCCAAAAAACTAAGCTCGTTCAAAGTCTGGGCTTGTGCGGGAAATAATCGACTAATATTCTTCATGGATTTCTTGGCACTTGTTTCGCCAGTTCACATCTTAAATTTCCTATGAAAAAAAAGAAAATCATCTATATATTTAACACTGTATATTTATAAAAAAAAATCAGTGCTATTTATAAATTAAAAAATACTATTTACAAGGCAGGGGTTTAACACAGAAGACTCTATGTAACTACATACATTTAAATTTTGTATGTGGTGCTCAAATTCAAATGTTATACGCTGTCTGATATGATAAAACAAAGAAAGAAACCCATCGATATAATGCTCACGCGGTGTAAGAAGGAGGAAAGACAGATGCCATTTACGAGAGAAATGTAGCAAAAGACATGAGAGAGAGGCGGAAGCAAGAACTGAAGAAATTTTCAAGAGAGCGGAGAATGCGAATGCAATGTAAGCATCCAAATTGTTGTTTGTTTAGTAATTTCCGACATGAAGCCTAATAAGCACGGACATAATGTTTGGGCCATTAGGTAACTTGTGCAGATTTTCGACAGAAGATCAAGTAAATGTGAAAATTTTGGGAAATGCTTTAATAAATAGGACCAAAGATGCGTTTCTCATGTATTCCTTTCCAGCAAATCCCTAATGAATTGCTTTGGTGCTGTCACAGTAACACCACAAAATTAAACAAGGAAATTCTATAGACATGGAGTCCGACAAGATGACGGTAGAAGTATAACAGAAGTAACTGACTTTTGCGTACCTGGTAAACCGGTGAAGTTCTGGAACTGGACGAATGCTTGGTTGATGAACATTTCTGTACCGTAGACGATGGCAGCTCCGGTTTCTTGAGATTCTCGAAGGAGTCTGGTCAGTTTGGGTGTGTAAATGGCATCAAACACCAGCGAGTAGTGTTTCAGGGCTTCCTGACAAGTCCAGTACAAGTCTTGATTCAACTTAGATAATATAAGAACCAATTATATTGTGAATTAATTAATTATTTATTTACACACACACACATATATATGAAGCAAAATATAAAACCTTTGGTATGGGTGTGAGATGGATGTTGGGTTTCATTCCCACAGATGTAGTATTTGCCAGAATCATGGCTTCTTCAGGGTGGAAATCCTTGAGATCCGAAAGACGAACAGCATCTCCCCCAACATTACGTGCAAGTTCCCTGGCTTTCTCTGTAGAGTTGAAAGCAAATCAGGCTCTGCTTCATCAAACACGTAAGTAAAGAGTTGGAGCTCAATGAGTATGGATTATATATATGAAGCAGCAAAAGTCTCTGACCATAATTACGATTGGCCACAACCACTCTAGCTCCCTTTTCTTTTGCACCATAAGCCAGTGCCTTTCCTGCCCCGCCGGCTCCCATGACCACGAACAGTTTCCCAGCTAAAGGCGACCCACTTCTCCCTGACCAGCCGTTTAATTCTGCAAATTATATTCAAACCTTGTAAATCCAAACAACGCTCAGATATACTATACATGTCATCAAACTCGTGAATGAGCGCTGTGTGTGTGCGCGCGCGCGCATAAACCTCGCAGCCCTTCTTCGATAGCTGTAATGGCTCCAACATAGTCAACATTGTAACCCATTAGTTTCCCGTCTGGCTTCTTGATCATACAACTAATAGCCCCTATTGCCTGCAAGAGAGTTGGCGAGACAGATTAGTTTGAGTTACCAACTCTACAGGAAGGATAATAAGAATAATTAAGAAAGAGGCCTTGGGATCAAAGTTACCTTGGCAACAGGGTCGACCTCATCACAGCATCTGAGTCCATCCACCTTGTGGGGGATCGTGTAACTGTTGTATATGTGTGAAGAAAAATGAGCAAGACAAGATGGACTTCATATTTATTATAACCACAAATGGAAGACTGTAAGATGATGCACTATTATGGCCATACCTGTATCCGACAAAATCAGGGGAAGAGTAAGCGTTGAGGAAATTGGAGACGCTGTCGACCAACAAAGGCAAGTAAATGCCATTAAATCCGACTGACTTGAAAGCTGGATTATAAATATGAGGACTTTTGCTGTGACCGATGGGGTTTCCAATAACACCATGCACTTTAGTGTCAGCTCCAATGTTTCTGAAGTTATACAGCTCCAACAAGTCTTTGACAGTTGGCTGTCCAGGGGCCGATTCGGCTCCACTCTCAACCGAACCAAATGTCAGAAATCCTCCGAACTTTGCCGACAGAATCCTTGACATGAGACCCTTCTCCCCCATCGCAATCCCTATCATGGATACCTACGTATATGTATGTACGTATATAACCCATTAAGTTTTATGCTATTCAACTGGCATTAAGCCAATGATTAAAGTTGAAAGATTTGAAGCCGTACTGGAAAAACAAGCCGGCCCGTCAAAGACTCGGGTTTAAATGGGCCGATTCGTTTAAACCCGAGTCTTAGAAATGAATTATTTTTCCAAGCTCAGGCTGTGAGATGACGGGTTATGGTCAGGTTGCAGGTTTTTGGCCTGTTTAACTAAAATGTGATTTTTAGAATTTTTTTGCATATTTTATCAACATAATAAAAATGAAACAATAAAATTACTAATAAAAAGTATAAATATAAATCAAAATAAGTTATAAACATAAATATCATTATGTCTAAACATCTATCACAGTGTAATAGAGTCTATCGAATAAGTAAACTACATAGAAGACAGACATAAACAACTAAATAAACATTAAGTTCAGTAAATAATTACAATGCAGATGATCTAGTTTAATTATAAATAATTAACAAAAAATTTTAACTAACAAATATAGTATACAAAAAGAATAAACATTTGACCTACTGACAAAAAGGAAAAGAGTTCATCATCCCTAGTTCTAAATTTGTTTCTAACTATAAAAATGGTATAGATCTTTATTTTAATTCAAAAGACTATTTAACCAATTCTATTTCAAGTATAAAAAATATGAGAGAATGACAAATAAAGACCCTAAAATTACACATGCAGTATTTTAACATATTTTGACAACTTATAAATAACAATACATTTTTGTGCATATAACTAATTTTAAAATTTTCAATTTTCACATTTTTTGGGTATTTTTTCCAACAACTATGGTTTTTTTTTTTTTGTGAATGCTATGTGTAAAATGTTAGGATTTTCTTTCCTAAATTTTAAAAAAATATAGAAATTTTTTAAAAAAATGTTGGCGGGCTTAAATGGATGAAACCGTTTATTTTTCAGCTCTACAAGACTGATCTTTTTAAACCCAACTTTCTTTTTAAGGTTTTAAAATATAAGCCTGACCCTTGATATAAACAGGTTTAAACGGACCGGCCTGACAAATTCGATTTGTTTTTTCGGGTCTAAATTTTTGAAGGATGTTGCTACGTACCTGAGATTGGGCAAGTACTTGGAAAATACGAGCATTGTCTACGATGTCCAAGGCGGTTGTTGCAATTTTCACCACATCACACCCAGAAGCCTGTATTCTTGCGACCAGATTGCCCAATTCCTCCACGGACGGTGTGTTCTCGTAGTTGTGTGAGGAAACAATAATCTTAACGTTCTCGGGCTTCTTTTCTCCGATGGAATTGAGAAACTCATGAGCTACCTTCAAACGCACCAAATAATAATCAGTGCCACGTTTAAATGCTGCTTCAACTCAAAATCAAAACTAGCTAGTGGGTAACTTTCAATAACCTTAAGCTCAACGTCAACGAACTCCGATCTCAATTCAACTGCTAAACGCAGAGCAGCTTGTCGCTGGCTTTCATCACCGTTATACCTTCCTCCTTCCCATGTGGGTCTGAAAAAAATGATGAGCTACACTATAGGACAATACAGCATGGTATTCAGAATTTAACGGAAGCGAAGGAAGGTGATCATTGGCAATACCTGTAAGTGACGAGAGTGGGCAACGGACAGTGTTTGATCAGAGTTTGGAGATGGTGTGGAGGATTGAAGTTGTTCAAGAAATCTAAACGGAGCTCCACAAGATCAGCGCCGAGTTCTTCGGCCTTTCCCATCTGAATCAGCATTTCATCGACTGAGTCGCTCACTATGGGAGCACATACTAACGTCGAATTCCTGCTCACTTCACCCCCAATTTGAACATCCGAAGCAGCCAACTGTTAATAACACATACACATGTTACCAACTTTTCTACCCTCGACACGTCTAAAACACTTTTCCGGTTCTAAATATAAGACCATTTTATAGTGTAAATTACATTATAAAATAAGTTTTATATCTAGGACTGGGGTTATTTGCAGGACATCACATCTTTGCTAACCCAAAGCAGAGAGAGAGAGAGAGAGGTACCGAAAGGCTTCTTCCCATGGTGGCCGGAAGTGTTGGATGAATATGGCGATGCAAAATGTCGAAAAGGATTCAAGTGATGAGGACTCCCTAAATACAAAAACACTTTGATGTGTATATTTGTATCTTGCTTACTGCAATGTCTTAGAAAGTACGTTGGCTTTGATGGCTATTAATATTCCATCTAACAGCCTCTCCAGAGAATAGCCGTTGGCCTGCATCTACGCTAGACCCTCACTGCATTATGTATATCTTCCTGTGGTCTTTATACTCATTCATTCCTCCATTGATTAACATAGCAACACCACAAGGGACACTCACCTTTATAATATCTCATCCATTACAACAACTTACGTCATATTATATATATTCACAAGCGGACATGTACGTCTCAATCATATATTCATATACAAGAAGGTTAGGTGGCCTGCTTGTGTGTGTGTGTGTGTGTCTTAATTTAAATTGAGAGCAAACATCTACGACCGCATCCAGAACATATAATTAGGTAGATTTTGTCGGGGAAAAGGCAAAGAAGTCGACAATTAGAGGGGCATCAGATGAAAATCTGCAGAATAAAAAGAAGGGAGAGATTATTATAGGTTTTCATTTGAACTGAGAATAAATAAGAAAAAAAAGTGAGAGAGAGAAAATGGGCTTGGTAAGGTTGAGCCAGTGACAAACAGAAGGTATGAGAATGTTAAGTAGTGTGGATGTCTGGTGAAGCCTTGATTGTTTGGTTCAGGTGGACTTGCTGGGTGTTTGTTCAGTGCTTGATGATATATATATATATATATATATATATATAATGTACTGTGATGCGTGTGTGGGTTTGTGTGTGTGTGTGTATATATATATATTTTAAAGTAATGTGATGTTCTTTTTAGGCCTGTGCAATACTCCTCCGGTCCTAAATGTAAGACCCTTATATACACTCTTGTATAAGGGTCTTACATTTAGGACTGTAGGAGTATGATGTTTGGTTATGATATGACAATGAATAAATATAAAAAAATTCTATTTTAATATATTTGTTAGTTTTTTTTAAAAAAGTATTGAATAATACTCCCTCCGTTCCTTATTATAAGTGACAAATAACCGAAGTACGTTTGTCAAAAAAACAGTTAAAATTAGTTAAGAATAATTAATGTGTAAAAAGTATAATTTTTTTTCTAAAAATACCCTCATTAATAAGGAGAGAGAGCATGAGAGAGAACAATTAAATTATTAAAAGAAAGAGAAGTGGGAGGGAGAGAGAGTGTGAGTTGGAGATAATAAATATGGGTAAAATAGTAAATCAACACAAAAAAGTAGAGACAACTTGTAAGTGTCTCTTATATATAGGAACATGCCATAAGCATCAAATGTCTCTTATAATAAAGAACGGATGGAGTATTTATTAACAATTATTTCAAAATATAACGTTATATATTTAATACTTATTCTATCGTAGCTACAAAAATATGATATTGAAAAGAAATATCATAACTCTTGAAATCCAACATATGTTGACCCCTCTCTCACATGCTAACGTCAAAACTCAAAAAGGCAGTGCACATGCTGATATGGCATGGGGCTGGTCATTAAGGTTCCGTTTGAATAATGAGGAAGATTGAGAATTTGAAATGAAACAATATTAGTAGGAAAAAACAAAAGAGAAGGTTAAAAGCATGCGGGGGAAAAAATGAAGCTTCGACCTGCTAATTAGGGGTGTTCAAGGCCGGCCCATCCCCGGCCCATCCCGGTCCCGGTCTTATTGGGACGGGACGGGACAAACCGGGACGGGCCGGAACACGAGACAGAAAATTTGTCCCGTTACTATTTACCGGGACGGAACCGGAACAATTCGATCCCGGTCCCGATCCGTCCCGTGAACACCCCTACTGCTAATGGGGTAAAACGGCCACACATTAATTGGGTCAGTTACTAATCAAACTGAACAGCCAAAAATGGAGGGAAGGTGGGTAAGGTAAAGTTAGTTGTGGGGTCCATCACTTAAAACTCATTAAATTTTGTGAACTGGAAACCGTATCCCTCCTCTGACCTCGACGCTTGGATAGAGCAACAACATCGTTAGAACACAACGAAATCCAAAAATATCCGATATTATAATACTTCATTATAAAAATAATATATTTATTGCAGTTTATTCAAAAAACTGGTCACAAAAAACTAAAAATGTCCACTTAAGGTTTCAGTTAATGATAAGATATATACACGCATGATTCTTTTGGGGGGGGGGGAGTTTCCGAAGTCCAACGACCTCAATAATTCTGTTCCCTAATTCTTCTTACACGTTAAATAAATCTAACTTCACGTTTTCTTAGGAAAAGGATAGTTTTTAATTCCCGATTTGCATCAACTTAATTACATAATTAATATTCCAATAGTTTTTTTAATAAAATAATCAATTTTGGAGTGGAGTTGACTTTGGTCAAAATATCTATTATTATCAAACATCACTATTACATAAACGACAAATCATTTATGCAGTAACGACGCGTCACTTCTAAAGATCTTAACTAAAGTTGATCACAATTTTAATTTTTAAAGAATAATCATTAATAAAAATTTGGAATGACCCTGACTCATGAGTCATGACCATAACTATAGGGACCAAATATTATGTTTTTTCCAGAATAATTTTCTAAAATTTTTCAGGGTTATTGAAATTAATTTTCTTAATTTAATGAATCTTTTGATAAAATTAAAATTAATGACAAGAAGTTTTTTAAAAGCTAAACTTTTGACTTGAAAATTATATTTTAAATGACTGAATTCTTATATATTCAACTTCTTGACAGTTTGGCCCAAAAAAAAAAAAAGAACTTCTTAACGGTGAAGTCACCCTAGGCCTCTTGTGATGAAATAATGGCTTCTAGATAAAATCTTCTAATTTTTGTTCTCAATATTATGTTCCATAGCCGCATCCTCTAATTTATGTTCTTGTTATCATAGTAGTATACAGTAACCGCTCCATTTGTCTGTTTATAAAGTTAGCTCATGTATGAGTAGTTGCTGAGCTTCGCATAATATGGCCCCCAAAAAAAAAAAAAAGAAGCTTCGCATAAAATGATAACTCGGACTAAATTTTTCTCTTGCGTCTCAAACATCTTTTTCCATCTCTATTAGTCTTTTAGCTCTCAAAACCACCGACTATGTCGTCGTAGTTCAAGTGTTTATTTTTTTATTTTTTTTTTGCGCTTGTTTTTCACAGACAAGAAATCTCAAGCAAATATTTTTAGTTGAAGCAATTCAATCTCGTCGCGTGTTTTACGTGTTCATAGAGACGAATCTTGATCAAATCTTTGGTTGAAACAATTCAGTTGCATCATTTGTTTCTCGTGTATATTGATAGACAAAATTATGGTGACGTAGACATTCCCTAAACAACCATTAATATATGAATATATACTATAAAATTAGAAAAAATATTTTTAAATCGTAAATAGAGCAGTTTATGTTTTATACTACGTGCAAAAGGTATGCTTTCATATAATGTTTGAAAGAAAAAATGGATTGAATTTTCAGGCGTTAACAACGAAAGCATGCTGAAATCTGTATAAATTAAGCATCACATTATCTTCAGTAGGTAGATTTATCTTGTGGAAATGGAATACATCTTCAAGAGTCATCAGTATTAGTAAAACCTTGTCAACGTCAACTACCAGTTAATTTTGCAACACAGCTGACAAAAACTACGACCTTTTAAGACGAATGATTAGAAAATCAACTACCATTTACTCACAGGACAATTGATATGGCCACACGAGGCATTCTTGCCCTGCTCCTTGCGGGTTCAGGCGCATAGTAGAAGTCAGGAGAACATCAACGTTCTCCATTGTAATCAAAAGACATAACTAATAACGGCAGCAACGCAAATTCAAGACTTGACTTAAAAGTCAAGGAGCTGAGTTCCAAGTCCGAACCTTGTCGTGACCGTATAGCATGGCATTAATTTACAACGTCCATATCTGGATCACCTAGAAGGGGTATAGCTAGGAGTGACACGACTAGTTTCTTCCGCGATTTCCATACTGTCCTGCACCCATAGGAGTACCAACACCAGAGTTGTTAGTGGGCGGACCAGCAAGTGCAGGCATTCCGCCAGGTAAGATTACTCCTTCACGGTGGAGCCAGAACATAGGTTGATGATATATAGGAGTGGATACCGGTGCTACAGGGGGTCTTATAGCAGTTCGAGGACGTTTGTTGTTGTTATTATTGCAAGGTTGTACTTGATGTTTCTTGGTAGATCCCTCATTAATACGTTTCTTTTGTCCCGGCTGTCGCACTTCAACTTTAGAAGAAGGCCCTGGTGTAGTACCAAACGTGTTTTCTTTCAGCCTTCTCAGCTCAGCAATGCGGTTATGAATCTCCTTAACCAGATTCTGACATTCAAGATTGTTGTCCGAAATGCACTTTAGGACAGATTGCAGACAAGCTAATTCTTCATCTCTAGCCTTATCCTGAGAGTTCACATTAAACGTGTCACGCATGAGAATTTACATGAAATTGATAATTTGATGAAAACTAAATAGGACAGAATAACCTTGGTTTGAAATGAGCTTTTCTTGCAACGTCTCTTGGAAACCATTTTTGCATTCTGCACATATTCTCTCAAGAGATCAACAGGTGGGATCTTGTCAGCCAACTCATATGCCCATATAAATCTAACAGCTTCGGCAGGCTTCTGCTTCTTGATAAGATTAAAAACAAAATCTTGACAAGACAAGATTTCATCTATCAAATTGGATAAAAGTACTCCGGGATATCAATTTAACACAGATGGTGTAAAAACTAAAGCAAATTATGACATGGGACCACTGCCAGAAAATCAGTTCAAGTTATCAACACAATTAAAAGGGACTAAAATTTCCATATTCCTCGTTGGGAAGGGAAGAAGAGAAAAACTAACATTTAAAGACAGTTAGAAAATGCATGAAAGGGAAGCACAAAGGGATGAGGCCTGAACCCGCAAGGAGCAGGGCAAGAATGTTACTTTCTTCATTGAAGCTGAATGGGGGACAAGCAGGATAAAACAGATGTCAGGTCAGTACAGCAATATAATTATCACATGATACACGCCACGTCCACCACAACAGATTATAGAGTCAAAACAAATAAAAAAAGAAAAGCAATAACAGCCCCCGGGGAGGGGGGTGCATAGTTGTGTTTTTCATATGACAAGAAAAACATCTTTCTAGTAGTGCAATTTTTTTGTTGCGAAGGAGGCATGAGGCCTTGGGAGTAAGGGGTGAGGAAGGCATTTGGGTAGGATTCAGATCTTCATGTAACGTAAAATATCGACTAATTTTAGATTTTTGCACAAATTGGGATAATCTGAATTTTAAGGGAGATTAACCAAACAAGTACAACGCCTTTCACAGAGGCACTGCCTTTTGTGAGGTGCCAAAAGGGGAACTCTCTTAGAGTCATTTGCGTTGTGAAATGTACAAGTCTTTGGCAACTTACTCATGTCATGCATTTAACTTAAAGGCCTAAACCCGAGAAATGAAACACATGAGAAGACCAGCCCATCCTTCTATATTTAATAAAATAGGGTAAAATAGTAGCTCTCAGTTTGAAATATTATTCGGTCTAATAAAATTTTGCAGGGCAGTGGGACCACCACATGTCAACAGCAGCTAGTTTGAATCAGAAAGCACAATGTAGAATAAGAAAGAAGGACGTTCAAGAGTGGAAAGATATAAATCCGGTGAAGGAGAGGAGAAGAAAGTAACAAGATTTGTGGATCTGAATCTGATGGAGACAAAATTTTCAGAGAGCATACCGGAAGCTTTAGTGGCAAAACCAAGTGTCTGGAACAGCTGTACAGCTTCTTCGTGGTGAGCAACAATCTCTAAGAGCTTTAAAATTTCATCTTCATCAAATGAAGATGCTAAGCCATAAATGGACAAAAGCAGTAGAAATCCCAGAACCTCCAGAGAATTTTCGGTACCTTCTCTCATCTCAGCCTTCAACTCATGTGCTAGCTTCCTTGCTTCTTCTCTTACTCGCGGTTCAATATCTGGCGAGATTCTCATAAGCCACTTTAGCAAAAATGTGTGGCTTCCAGCAGTGATAGCACTTTTCTCTTCCTTTGTACTTTGAGGAACAATAGGGTTCCCTATCATATTTAAAACAAGTTTTGCTGGATCCAATGTTTGGGGATCAACTAAAATGTCACTCCCCATCAACCCGTTTGCATTTGCTTGTTGATTTACAGTCAAATGCAAATTTCTTCCACCTCGGGTAGCACCAAGCTGATTATCTGCACACAAATTTAACCACAAAATTAGCTGCAAGAGCTTTAAGCTCCTCACGTTTTTCAAAGCATAAAAAATCAAGAAGTCATGTGTTCAGATGATGCAGGTGCCACCGAATGCCAAATATCTCAAAGTTGAATAGCTCACATGGCCTTTTTGCATTAATACTTACAAAATGATCATAACTAAATCACAAAATCATGAGATCACTGAGAGGATGCAAGGAGAAAAGGGATGCATGGTAGACATAAGAATGCCTTCAGAACAGGGCAGGCAATTTTTTTTTTAAAAAAAAAAACAATGAAAAAAGGTAGGCTGGTCATCTCTGGAAGATAATGAAAATGTGTTCTGCATTAAAAGCTTCTAGAGGTGATTCCTTTATTTCATAAACAGAAGGACACAGCATCTATGATAAACATATCCATACGTAGTAAAAAGATTGAAGGGAACAGCAGTGAAGGAATAAAATTTTTCTTTTATCTTCTTGATGTAGAATGTAGAATATACATAAACTCCCGAGAAGAAATTTTGCTGATTATTCGGAGACTCCAAATATTATATGACACTAAATAACTATATTGCTTGTGGTACCGTAATATATTCTCATTTGCTAAGGAATGCTAAAAAGGACTTTGGGATTTTAGGGCTTCTACATGTCTTTGCAAAGGCAGAAGTATAACCATGATCCATTTGACCCAAAAAAAGAAAAAAGAAAGTAAACTCATGTCACTTTTTCCCCTCAGCCAGCCCAAATGGAAAAGAGAGATTTCCACAAAAAGAGGTTTGAAATTACTAAATCCCAAATAAGGCTTAGTAAGAACATTTTAATAGGTTTTGACAATAACGGATTTGCAAATAACATTTCATTTTCGTAAAAATTTCTTATTTGGACCTTGGTAATTTCAAACTTCTTTTTGTAGGATTCTCACAATGGAAAAGCCACTTGTAAATTTTTTTCAAAAAAAGGATAATTAAAGAAATTGATGGAAACCATTATATTAAAATTGATAAAGATATGCAGCATTAAACTGCCTAGGGAGATTATTACATATGCATCATATGTAAGAGAAGCCTCAGGGTGACCACATGCACTTAGGAAAAAACAGTTTATTAAAACTTGATCCGGCTGAGCTAGAAAAGGAAGTACATGTTTACCAGGTACCATCTTGAAAATACCTAGGGATTGTCGTAATTCAGAAGTCTGACAATGCTGGGAAATAATATCTAGAAGTGTATGAAGTTCAGTTGCATCAAAGGATGAGCCTAGTTCATATGTAGCCACAAGCTTCAGAAACCCCAGGACCTCCAAACAATCCTTATTACTTACAGACAAATTCTCCTTCCACTCAATTGCCAACTTCATTGATTCTTCTTTCACATGAGAACTAATTACCGGTGAAGATTTCTTCAATTCGTCTAGCAAAAGAATACAGCTCCTCCTTATAATATTTGCATCATACGCAATGTCCTCTTGGCTCGAATTTGAAGGATAAAAACCCTGCATTGAATCTAGCACCAATTTAGCAGGGTCCACTGATGCTTGGAGAGAATTTGATACTTCACGGCACACCAACTCATAATTTTTCAAGAGATCGTTAAAGAGCGCTTGCAAACTCCTGCTATTCTTTAAACTAGTGGTATTTACAAAATCCAGTTCCTCTGTCTTTACACGTGGCTGGAAGATATTGCCCTTCTCTATCAACGCTTTTTCGTCTTCAAATAATTTTCTTAATAATTCAACTTGCTTTTCTTTGGACTCAAACTCCTTCACTCGTTCTTCAAACTGTTTCTCTTTCAACTCTAGCTTCTTCACTCGTCCATCAAATTGATTCTCTTTTGACTCAAGGTTCTTCACTCGTTCTTCACATTGTTTCTGTTTTATTTCAAGTTCCATGAACCCTTCCTTTGTCTTATGTTTGATGAAATCTAAATCTTTCTTGTTTTTTTCCAGCTCTTCAACCTGATGATCAATTCTGTTCTGCAAAGACTTGAGTTCTTCCTCTTTTGCTACAAGGTCATCATAGTCTTTCCCTTTTGATTCTAGTTCCCTAGCAAGTTCAGAAATTGACTTCTGTATTGAATCAAGTGCTTTCTCCTTTGTATTGAGCTCCTCATCACATCGAGTAATTTTCTTTTGGATAGACTTGAGTTCCCCCTCCCTCTTTTCATAATCGTTTTTATATTTCTTCAAAAATGCCTGAAATTCAGCATCTTTTAAACTGATATGTCCTTTCAATGTAATAAGTTGTTCTTCCTTTTTTCCAAGATCCCTGTTACATTCTCCAATGTTCCTCTGTATTGACCTCAGCACTTCTTCACGTTCAATGATCAAATCTGTGATCATTTTGAGATCCCTATTAGACTCTTCCTCTTTCGACTGCAGCTGCTTCTCACGGTCGTTTATCAATTTCTGGATAGATTTCAGCTCTTCTCCCCCTACGTGCAACTCCTTGCTACGTCCTTCAATACTTCTTTCAATGGCACGGTATTCTCTCTCTTTCAATTCAATATCTTGGCAACATAATCTCCATTGTCGTTGAACATGGCTAAGGTCTTTTTCCTTCTTCTCAAGCTCTTTGGATCGCTCTTCAATATCTTTCTCCATCAAGAGCAATCTCTTCTCTTTTGCTTTTACTTTTATCGTGTACTCACCTAATGATTTTTCAATTGAGTCAAGTTCTTTCACTCTCGCCTCAAGTTGACCAGAGGATTCGGCGATTGATTTCCGTATTGCCTTCCAGTCCTTTTCCTTCTTTTCAAGCTCTTCAATATGATCTTGAATCAAGCCATCGAGAGAAGCAAGATGTTTCTTCTTCAATTCCAAATCGTTGGAAGCTTGTTGACTCAAGCTATTGATTTCTTCCAGTTTCTTGCCTTGTGAGTCAACTTGCTCGTTACATTCATCTAAAGACTTCTGGACAAGATGCAATCTTTCCTCTTTCTCGTGAACCAGTTGGGAGCACTCATCCAAGCACTTCTGGATCACACTCAACTCATTCTCCTTCAACTCAACCTCTTTTTCACGGACATTAAGACTTTCCAAGCGATCTCCAATCGTTTTACTGAGGGAATCAAAATGTTCCTGCAAATCCTTCCACTGGAGAGAGAACAAAAGGAAAGAGGAAGCTTGGGATTGTAACTGCTCGTATGCTCTTCCCAAGTTATCTAGTTTCATCCCAGCCACTCGCAGATTCGATGCAATTTCTTCCATTGCACAAGTAGAAACAACGTAGTTCCTCGTTCAGACTTGAAACCCTAAAATCTCAAAGTTGAAAAGCAGAAAGAGAGGTATGCGCCGAAGCTTGGAGACTTACGATAGTGTTTGCAAAGTTGCAGAGCAATGGATAGGCAGCGGACTGTTACAGCGAAAGTGGTGACATTGCTTGAAGCCGAAGAAACACGGGCTCAGACTCCCAGACGACCTCAAATAAACGATGAATTTGGCAACGGACTCTCGCCAGTGCCGAACTTAAATAATAAATCCTATGATTTTTTTTTCTGGCCCCAAAAAAAGAAAATCCTGAGATTTTCTACTGCAGGTGTATAATATCAAAGATGATTTTGTGTTTGATATTATGATGATGGTAGGGATTTCATTCAATTTCATTTCGATATTTTAAATTTCGATAGATTTTAACTTATTTTGATTTTAAAATTAAAAAAAAAAAACAAATCAGAAAAACATTAAAAGCCTCAGATAACTCGCCAACGCAAATAATACATCTGTTAGTTTTTTGAAGGATGTACATACATCATTTATCGTCCAATCTCTCCATATTGCGTCTTTGACGGTTGTGATTAGATGATTCCGTGGGGGAGAACCATAATTTTATATATATATATATATATATATATTTTACTTGTACCGTTATTAGTGAATCGAATGTGTTAATGCATCTTTTTAGTCAGAATGTTGGCAAAAGTTAAAGTATTGTAAAAATTTCTTCATCCTTATTTTTATTAATAAAATGCATCGACGTTGAAGTTTTAAATATTAACAAAATATTGATAAATATTAAGATAAGGGAAAGGATCACTCACGTGAGAATCACATTGTATACTTACAAGCAAACCAAGCAAAGGGAGGAGTGTGATGAACTGATGATGTGAAGAGCATCGTTCACCTTTCCTTCGGAGCCTTTTCCAGAAGCCTCATGTTAACCAGGCAATCGCTGGGAACACGAAGATTTCTCTTTTACTTTGTATTTATGACAACCACGGCATGTTGAGGATAGGCCTTCTTCTCATCACTTTTGCTTAACTCAATTGAGATATGTTTTAATGAATGTGTAAATCAATCAATCATCAACTATTAATTATATTCTTAAAAACTTATAATACTCAATTCGTTTAAAAATAGACCGGGTGTGATATTATGAGATCTGAATATATTCACTTAATAAGATTTGAATAATATTTTGATTGGGATTTAGGTATATTGAATTAAATGAGGAGCATCATTATTAAATGAAACTTCAATTGAAGGCTCAAATGAAGAAATGAATAATTAATTTTGAATTTGAATAATATCTTAATTGGGATTCAAATATATTAAATTAAATAGGAAGCATCATAAATAAATAAAATGTCAATTAGAGGCTTAAATGGAGAAATAATTAATTAATTTTAAATTTTCATATGTCCCTCCTAAATTCCACATCTCTAATTCAAATTCAATTTGAATGAGTAAAAAAACATATTCATATGAGAGCTGAATTTTGAGCTATCATAAATAATACAATTTATTAGAATTTAAAATATAACCAAATATTAGTGAGTGTGTCGCATGAGTGACAAATTTCTAGTTTATGCAAAAAGTCGTAAATTAATTCGTGTCGTGTGCAGTTGGAGATAATGCTGACACGTGGATAATTTTAATGTGCTTTGTCGGCTAAAACAATAAAAAATTGATTTATGCCTGCGATAATTATTTTTAATAATTATCTAATTTTTGTAACTACTGACTAATTCAAATTTTATTTCATGTGATAATTTTAATCGACTGAATATTTTGATCCATTGGTGGAGGATGCATTGAAAAAACAAATTGCACCAATAAAACTGAGACATGACATACATAATAAACCATATGAAAACGGACGTTTCAAATGCTGAAAAAACAATGATGCCCAAGAAAAAACGTCTGGCCCTATCGTAAGAAGCCGGACGTCTAAAACGAATCGGGGCCCTGTGGCCTGTCTCCGGAGAACGAGTGATCTGTGAGATTCACAGCGCAGCATCCTCGTTTCGTCATGCGCTTGTGTGTTTTTTTTGTTGTTGTTTTGGGCAGAACCCATGCCACACTTTGTTTTTTTGGGCCAACCCATACTACACCTTGTTATTGAGAAATAATGTGAATAATGAGATTTACTTTTTTTAAATTTCGTACAGCACATGATGTACATTAGTTAACAAAGATATCAATCAGATCAGTAATAGTACTATCACTGGTCTTAATTATAAGAGCTAGTTGACTAATTTGAAGAGATTAAGAAAATAAGTTGAGTTAGTTATTTGTTCTAAATAGGTATTGTCTTTCCTAAAATATCCTTACTAACCAACTGTATTGGCTAGAACTACTATTATTAGAAGAATACTTTGAAAAAAATATAAATATGAGAGACAAAACAGATTATAATCTTATATTTATGATAAAAATAAAAATCAAACAAAATTTTATATTAAAGATCAAAAGTAGTGTGTGTTATTTTGCAAGGAGTGCTGTCATCACAAGTCTTAGTCAGTTAGTCTGTAATGAAGGCAAGAATTATGTGTGTAAGGATTGTACTTTTATAATTCAGTTGGCATCTAGCAATGAGCTGTAGTATTTATTTCACTTGATGTTTAAGATGTAAATGGACTTGAAGTCAAGAATCTCTCCCTTTTGGTCTCTCCTGGGTGAGAGGTTTCCGTCTCTCCGTAAGTGAGTGAGCTTGTGCCTGTGTGCTTAGTGTTCCGGCACCTCTCTCTCCGGCGTTTGCCGGAGAGGAGGCTGTCCGGCTTGGGGGTTTTGTTTTGGGGGTTTAGGATTTCTGTTTCTTCTAGTTTGTTTTTGTCTTCTGTGATTTGGGGGGTGGGCATTAAGGAAAGGTTAGTCCGGCTGGTGAAGGAGAGAAAGGAGGAAACGATGTGGATGGTAGGTTATTTAACGACACTAATACGGTGGTTAGATGACCGCAAAATTGAAGACATTCCTCTTGCTGTTTCTTCTCTCTTAGTTGCCATTGATCAGGTATGGCTTTTTGAATCTTCTTCGATCTAGTATCACTGGCTTTGGTTTCTGGTAGATCCTCTCAGTTACAGTTGCTTTGTTTCGGGTTGGTGTTGGTGGTGTTGGTCGGAATCTTTGGGGGCTACTGCGATGCTAATGCTGTTGTTGTTGTTTCTCTCCATGCGGCGGTGGTTGCGTGGGGCCTGTGTTTCTGCTCTTTCATTAGCAGAAAGGAGATCAATAGGGATGGGACCGATGGGGTGGTTCTTTGAACCCCCATCCCTTATTTCCGGCGAAGTTTACAGTGTTCCTTCGCGTTTTCTAGCAGCAGCAACAGAGACGGCGGCTCAGTGGCTCTCTAAGTGTGGCTTAGAGTTAGGGTTTGTGTTGGTGGTGTTTTCTTGGGCTTAGGGTTTTTTGTTGTTTGGGCCTCTGTCCCTCTTTTGTTGTGGTTTCTCTGTGGGACTGTTTGTTAGTGTTCCTTTAATATATTTTCCTTCCGGTCAAAAAAAAAAAAGGACTTGAAGTCCTCTGATTCAGCTGAAATTAATGAAGTCAGAGAGGAATTCACGAGGGCCGTAACGTGATTTGGTTGAATTGAACAGATTGTGGCCTGCGCAGCGGACGGGGGTATTAAATGCTTGTGGCGAACTAATAACAAGACATGGCATCAGTTAATATTATTTTCCAGCAAATACCTTACCCAACGGTCTCATGCATATCTTGATCTCAAATTACTTTTTTTGTTTTTTTTAACTTTACAGTTTTCTTTCTGATAAGATCCTTTACCGTCCTTTTCCTAATCGCAAGGGACGGCATGTTGGTTGTGACCTAGATAGGTCAAAATGAGCATCCCTAACCCAAACCATAACATCTGCAGATATATTAAGTATTTACGCAAAAACACCAGCTATTAACAAAACACCTCAAAATGTTAGCCGCTTCATACAGATGATGCCCCGACTCAGGAGTGTAAACGGTATCCAAGGAATACACAGATTAGCGCCACCATGCAGACATACAGAAGAGGGAACCCAACTTGAACTTCTCTTGCATCTCTCTTACTCAGATCCGCCTGCAGGTATAAAAGCACATGCCAGCAACAGTGATGAGACATCACCCAACTTATCGGCTAAATTCGAGTAAAAGAATACTCTTAAAACGTATTTTATTTTCATCCTAAACCACCATTGATATATGGACGGTACTCCAATTTCTGTAACGACAAATAAATTGCACTACACGAAGATAAGAAATTACGACAGGACAAATGACCAAGGAAACAACACCAGTAATTGTAAGACTAGAGAGTTTTTTTTTTTGGGCCAAAAAGAAACAGTCTTGCGCTTACTAGTTTTTCTTGCAACATCTCAGTCTCTAGCCTGCTTGCCATCCTTTCCTCTCTTAGCTTCGATATTGTTACTCCAGCCTGCACAGGAAGCCAGAAACTTGAACATGTCCGTGGTTGGATCGTAGGGATTAAGATTGAACTCAAGAGCCACTATCACAATCATCTATCCAAACATAGAGATGTCTTTGATCTAAAGCTATTATGTTGTGACATGGAAAAGATTTCCTTTGCATGTACAGAGAAAGATATAGAGATGTCTTTAATCATTGAGACCTTTAACTCAACAAAATGTGATCTGAAAGTAATGAATATATATATATATATTGAGTGAATGACAGCAATAAGTATTAATAATAAAAAAAGGTGTGGAGAGGATAAAGAACTGAATAATAAAGGACGCATCTTTATCTTTTTTTTTTTTTTTAAAGCTTTGTTTGTAAAGTGTTTTTTGTGATAATCCACGACAAAAATATATTAAAAATGTTTATTTAAAAAGTTGAAACAACATAAAGCTATTATTCAGTTCTTTATCCTCTTCAGACCTTTTTTTATTATTAATATTTATTGCTGTCATTCACTCAATATATATATTCATTCCTTTCAGATCACATTTTGTCGAGTTAAAGGTCTCGATGA